AAAACGGAAACCAAAAAAAAAAACAGAAAAAAAAAAATTAAGCACAAACGATTGTTTAACCATGGCAAATTAACCCTTTTATTTTTATTTTCAATTTTAGGAGAAAGCACATTTATATATATATATTATTAATTTGCGCGTATTTTTTTTGGGGTGGGGGCCCATGAGGGCATTTTCTGTTCAAAATTGTACTATAAAAAATATATACGTGTATTTTTTTTTTTTATACATGCTATATATGTATGTATATTATGTTACAATGACAGTGCAGCAATTGTACTTTTGTGCCCCAGATTTCCTACCTACAATAATTCTCACTCTCGCTGGGTGAGCTGCATTGTAAAGTAAATGCGCATTTGTTGCCATTTTTGGCGTTTGTGTTGTGCTTGTTGCGTTTGTTGCGCTTGCTGCGCTTTTCTGCCTTTGCTGCATTCATCATATGGCGCTGAAAACAGGGCTTCCTTCGTCATGCGAACGAATGCAGTGGCGTACGCTCCAGTAAGCTAAACAGTGTACGGCGCAGTCATACGCGAGGCCATATGTTACAGTCACTATTCCTTACATGTTCGCATGCTCATCTCATGTTCGTACCTTGCGCTTGCCACCCTGTTGTATGTACAACTTGTCCCGGGCTAGCGCTGGCATACTAACACTATACCCCCTCTTCTGCTTTCCTTGTGCGCGCCAGCTTCGCCTTTTTTAAAAAATTTGAAGCGCACGTATATAGAAATAAGAATTGACAAGTTGGCCCCTGGAGAGGAAAAACGCAACTTATCCTTTTTTGCCTTTCGAAGGGGAGGGAGATTTTCCTGCAACTTTTTTTTTTTTTTTTTTTTTTTTTTTTTCTTCCCTTCATTTGTGAGGGGGGACAAGTATCACTTAGAAGAATTCCCCCCACATCTCCTGAAAAAAAAAAAAAAAAAAAAAAAGGGAGCCAAAGTGTTAAAAGACGCAAATTTTTGTGGCAACTGTGGAGATCGAGTGGCAGAAGGGATGAAGTATACAATGAAGGGGAGTTACTTTGAGACACCCATACATATGTACACATGACGACGATTTTTTTTTTTTTTTTTTTTGTTTTCTGTAGATCCCTCCAAAGAGAAAAAGTTGTCCTCTGAGCAGATACGCATATATATGATCGGTATATATACCATCGTAGCTGCAGTAGAGGGGAAGAGGTCCACATGTTGTGTTACTTTTGTCTGAATGCCCCCGCATTAAGTGATCGCCCTGGTTGCTCGACTATTCCCCGTTGTAAGTTATAATATCGTGTGCAAGCTTGCCAACTGAGCACCACCAACGGGAGAGCAATCCCCTCCTTTTTGCGTGCGGAAGCAGACCCTAAAAAGTATGACACTCCCCCAACGGGAATAGAGAACGCACATCAAGCCACAGAGAAGGATCGCAAAAATAATTAATTAAAAAAAAAAAAAAACGCACCTCCATCCGAAGCGTGTGACAACAACACGGTTTTATAACTTAAGAAGAAGTGCAAAAAAAAAAAAGGAGTAACCCCCGCTTTTGCCCAGTGGAAGATACATACATACAGTACAAGGACGCGTAACGAACGTTTTGCCCCATTCACACATTCGTGGCTCTGTTCACATCTGCAATCGAGCACTCGACATGGATCAGGGGGCGGAAGAAAGCGGAAGAGGCAGCGTGGAGAGTGACGGAAACCATGCCTACCCAAACCACTTTGTAAGTTCAAGTAAATACATAAATGGACTTTTTTACAAAAAGGGCAAGGATGCTTCTATACAAAACGGTAACGGTAATGGATTCATCGTGGGGGGCACAGGTGCACCCATTGACTATCAGCCCTCAACAGTTAGCGCCTCGATCATTGGTGAGAAGGATGACTGCTTCCATCAGAACGAGTGCAAGGAGGGAAACCCACATGGAGAATCGGCGGGCCATCACGGCGGCATCCCAAACGGGGATGGCATCGGCCATATGAATGGCTCCATTAACAGGAGCGGCAGCATCAATGGCAATGGCTTGATCAACGGGAATGGCCTGATCAACGGGAGCGACGGCAATCATATGTCGTACAGCTACTCAAGCGAACTTGGCACCATGATGGAAGCGTGCTCGAGCCACCACATAAATGGAAACATAGACCCATGCCACGACGAAAGTGAAAGCGGAGCTGACGTCACTAAGCATGGCATGAGCTCCATGAACAGTATGAATGATAATGTGCATGCACAAGTACAGTATGATCAGTTTTGCGGCTTAGAAGAAGTAGGATATCACCCTGGGTCCCCTTTTAATGGGGGAGATAAACCCATGTCGGTAGTAAAGGCAGACGTAGGTTTCATGAGTTCAATGAAGAGTTCACGCGAGATACACTTTAGAAGTGGGAAAATTGAGGAGGCAGATGGATCAAGTCAAGATTATCATCACTCTCTTAGTAATGGAACGAGTGCACCTACCCGCAGCGAACAAGTGCCAAATGGGTACAGTGAAAATAATACATCTTCTGGTAAAGGGGACCATATAGTTCAGGTGAAGAAGAAAAAGAATGTTACATTTACCAGCGAGAACAACGTGTTTAATATCCCCCAGGGGGTAATGAACAAGGATGACTCGTTTGCATATTACACGAATGGGGTTATGGAGAGCGATGTTTGTGGCATATCAAATGGTGATTGTATTGTGGGGGGAGAAGAGGAGCAGAACTCAGGTGAAAATACAAAAATGAAGAAGATACACGGGAATGCTTATAGCACCACGGAGGAGAACGGCACGAATAGCGACATGTATAATTACATTACGCTAAAGCAAAACAACCATACCTACCACCCGAACAGCGTTAATAATAATTATATAGAATACGACATGAACAATAACGAATCCTTCTTCCCTAGTATGTCATCCGGATTGAAAAATGGCTCAACGCCGAGCAACACGTTCTGTGCGAATGGCGAAGGAGACGTTGGGGGAAACTTGGACCATCCTGTTGAAGGGGGAGGGGACATTTCTTCACCCATTTCTCAGGCCATGCAACACGGGCCGTACAATACCTGCAGCACCGGTCCGCATGAGTGGGTATATAAACAGGGAAGTCAAGATGAAGGTCAGGTAGGAAATGTGTCAAATGTAGTTAGCGGCAGCTTGGCTAATGGAGACCTGTCTGGCGAGGCCCCTATAAGTGATAACCCAGTGAATGAGCAGGAAGGGAAAAAACCTGAGGGGGGTGGGTCGACCTATTTCACTGCAGAAGTTTCAAATACAAACGACACGACAGTCAACGCCATGTATGATGGTAACAGTTACAAGTCGTCCAATGGGGGGAAATGGAGTGGTCTTCCAGTGAGTGGCGAATCAATGAATGGAGCTGCTAACCAAATGTCAGGACGAGGAGGTGCTTTAAATAAACACGACAAAAGTGTTACCCTAAACGGGAAGATAAAACAGACGATGGAACAATATAAAACAAAGGGCCGTCCTAAGAGTGTTAGCTTTAGTAAAAAATTAATTTCCTCCAAGGGTAAGGAGAAGACGAAGTTGTATAACCATCCTCCGCATATGGTCAATCGATCTGGCGGGATAAATCAACCCAACAAATATTTCTCGAACCCTCTCCACACACTCAATGCGAACATGCTTCCGCTAAATGCTCCACTCAAGCATGGAGTTCACGCGGGGGACATGAGCGCTTTGTACCGCATGAGCAGCATGAGCGGCGTCTCACAAAACGGAAACGAAATGGCCGATGTGAAAAAGCAATTCGTTATGAGGTACCTCAGTGATGTGGAGAAGATGTATCAAATAAGGGACAGAATCAAGCAGTACGAAAGTAAAGTTAGTATGAGCAGGGCGGACGACAGAGAAGGAAGAGGACCAGCGGCGGCAGCGGCAGGAGCAGCAGGAAGAAGAAGAGAAAGAAGCCGCAACTCCAACAGCCTCCTAAACTACTACAACATATTGGAGCTTCTCTACAGGTCCAGTGTAAAAAAGAAAAACATAAATGACAAGCGGATCAGGACTTTGTTATATGTATTTAAGTATATTAAAAATATCGAGCGCAGGAGAAAAAAAAAAAAAAAAATTTACCTCTTCGACGCAACCACTCTGCGTCGTCTAAACAGGCAGGTCGACCTGTACATTGACTTTGTGGAGAGGCGGGAGTATAGAAGCGACTTGGCAGCACAGTTGAGCATGTCGGAGGGGGGTCCGGAAGAGAAGCCAGAAGAAAAGGAGCCCATAGGCCAAGGGGCAAGTGATGAACAAACTAGTGACAAAAAAGGAAGTGATAAAACACAGAACGATCAGAGACAGCGCACGACTCACAGCAAAGTCCACAGTCAGTCCAAGTTTATTCAAAACTTGTTAAACAAAAGGTCTAACCTGTATTGCACCTCCCCCGGGAAAGTGGACCCGGTACACAGTGAGAGCTTTTACTTCCACCATACGTTGAAGCAGGTGAACTACTTGTGTAATTTGCTCGTCTACGTGCACTTTATCATTTTGAAGTACGTGTCCATCTTCTCCCTCTCCGAGTGGAATGCCCTGCTGTTTCGCGACATCGATTTGTTTAACTGCGCAAAGTGGGGGCCCTCCGCGGGGGATGAAACGGCGGAAGTGAAGGACGAAGCGAAGGGTGAAGCGAAGGATGAAGTAGCGGAAGAAGTGAAGGAAGAAGTGAAGGAAGAAGCGAAGGACGATACGATGAACGATGCGATGGACGCAGCGGGGGAAGGGGATCCCCAAAGCAACGCAGGGGCCACAGAAAATGAAAAGAGCACAAGTGGGAATGGACCCGAAAATGACACCGTTACTCAGAAGCAGGGTGAACCCCACCCAGACGCAAAAACAGTGGAGAAGCTGAACCCACTCCTCATGAACAGAGAAAACACGATTGACATAAACTACTACGAGTATGTGATCGAGCCGTTCGACTTTTACTTTTATGAAAATGTGTACAATGAGATAAGCACTTACCTGCAGATGGCCCAGAACAACGCGGTGGTGAATGGTGAGGCTGCCTCCACGGAGACGGCGCAGCTGCTGAAGACCTTGCCCTATCAGTACTACGAGTTTGTGGAAATTCTGAACAAAGAAATTATGAACGTGAGGGATTTAGTATATCGCAACAGGTACATCCGATACCTCTTCTATTACATTTATCAGGACAATGGAGACGATCTTCTGAACTCAGTAAATCGTATTTTCAATTTCGAGAAGAAGAAACTTCAACTGTACAAGCTACAGATGAAAATGAGGTACAACATATTTGTGTCTCGTTTTTTTGAGCATAAGTACGTTGATGTCAAGTGCCCTGATAAGGAAAAGAGGCATGAGGAGTTTGAGTCATGTGGACTTAACTTCATCGAGGCAAAGGAAAAGTTGTTCACCTACCTCTTTGCCCAGTATAAGGAGCACTACTGTGCGTACCAGGCGAGGGTCCAGCGACTGCGGGAGGGCACGCGGAGGGCCCTCGGCATACCAGAAGAAAAATTCCCCTACGTCAGAAGAAAAATAAACTTTTACTCGCAGCACTTTGACGATTTGAAGAGGCGCTGTTCTCGCCGTGTGGGGGACGCCGCGCAGGCGGTGGAAGGGGCAGACGAGACGACCTTAACCGATCCGTACGAGCGGCAGAAACTCCAATTCGACGTCGCGTACGAATATGTAGAGTACATATTCAATAAAAAGTACGCCCTGATCATAAACAGCGAGAAAAACAACTCCAGGAAATTGAAGGCCGCCTACATCGTGAACCGAAATTTGAAGAACGACGAAAACCTCGTAATCGTCACGTCCGTATTGAACGTTATAAAATGGAAAAGTTTGTTTCAGGCCTTCGAAAATGTAACCGTGTATCTGAATGAGGAAAGTATTGTGGAAAATAAAATTGAAACGGAGAATAAGAACCTAATCATCTGTGTCGATTTCTTACCCAAAATTCTACACGTGCCGTGTGATGTGATCATCCTTGATATGGCTCACTTCAATTTGCTGAACAAAATTAGCATTTTAAATGACTTGCGTTATTTGGGCTTTTCCAGGAGGATAATTATTTTGAATAATTTGTTGAATGAAAATTGGACTCTGTTGTCGTCCCTTTTTTTTCTGAACAGTGCCCTTTTCGACAGCTCCGTCATGTCGAGGATCCAACTGAGTCAGAGTGAGGAGGACAAGAAGGTGTTGAGCGACCTGCTGCGCAGCTTCGTCGCTCACTTTTGCGTCATCAACCGGGTGAGGGGTGGTCCAAGCGGTGATAGAAGTGGTGATGCAACGTACGGAGTAGTGCCCGCCGAACCAGTCCCCGTGTCGAGGAACAGGAGGTGCTTCCTCATAACCTACATGAGCGGCATACAAAAGTTCATCTACGACAACGTGAGCGACGAGCACAAGTGGGACGCCTGCGTGCACCCCTTGCTGCTCCTCGACGAAAGCAATTTCTTCCTCAAAGACTTTAACATTTCAGAAAAATTTGATCTCCTGAAGAACATTATAAAAAAATTTCACATGTTGAAGAAGCGGATCCTTCTCTGCTACTCTGGGGAGGACAAGTTGGAAAAGTTAATCAAAATTTTGCTTTACGTGCACATGTTGAACGACCCATCCATTGTGTCACCATTCGACGTAGCACGGCACAAGGACACTTTAAATGTGCAACAGTATGATGTAGCAGTGGTGGTGAATGACCATATAGAATACTTAACGTACTTTGAGGATCAACCCATCGCTTGCTACCTCCTCATTTCGGCCTTCACTAAAGAGGAGGAAGGTGTACTCGAAACCGTTAAGCATAAGAAGGAGATCCATTGTTACAAGAAGAAGAAGGAAGCGTTGATGCGTTCTCGTAAATCATGCAGAGATGACCTTTACAGATATTACGTAAATAATATGATTTCTGAAAATGACGAGCAGTTCTTGCTGTTCAGCATTATTGACCAGAAGGAGAAGGTGTACTGCAATACGTCCTACGACGAGGTGGTGCTTCCCACTTGCTTCGTCTCGACGCTGGCTCAGTGTGAAGCGGCCGTGGGCTACTCGGGTATGTGTGCTAGACGGGAGCGGCGCACCGTGTGTGTGCTCCACATTTGTTCCGTCGCAAGTCTTCCCCCCATTATTCATCCTCACCGTGTAAAACTTCTTGTCACTTCCTCCCCCTCCCCACAGAGCACTGGCAGGACATAAAGAACGCCCATAGCTTCTGGAACTTCAACAACTTCAACCGAGACAAGGTCATCTTCTACCTGGACAGGAAAAACACGGTGTACGACAAGTACGAAAACGTGGTGTGCCCCATGTCTGAGGAGTACATAGCCCCCCCCCAGGTTAGCCATCGCGCCAGCGTGCAGCAATGCGTGATTGGATCTGCGTGTCGCCGTTTGCGCGAGGCGTTTCCCTTCACTGCCACGGGCGCTATAAAAACGGACGCCGCCATTTTCGTCGACGTGCCATTCCCCCCCGACGCAGATTTACTACTACCTGACGAACCCCATGAACGAGAAGAACACCTTCAACACCTGCCTGTCCCTGGCGGTGGACGAAATTATACAAGAGCTGAACCGCAAGAAGGAGCTGGACGAGTTTGATGAAATGAAAAAGCTCACCCTGTTGAACATTAAGGAGAAGACCAGCAAGAAACATTTTTTGTCCATCCGTAAGGTGGAGAAAATTCTCTCTGAGTTTTTAAATGAAAACAAGAAGAAATCCTTCGAGCACTTTTTGAAGGTAATATATGATTGTGCAAAACAGCACGGAAAAAGAAGTTGTGCCTACCTTTGGCAGCGTGTGTCAACTGCACATGTTGACTAACATGCGTGGAGACATTGCTGCTGCCGCGTTTCCGCGTCGCCCTCCGAACGCATGACTTGCCTACTCACCGCTTGGCACATTTTTTTCATTCACCACGTTTATAGGGGTGTGAGAGCTACGGACAAGTGATCACCAAGTGCAAGGAGAAGCTGTTCGTCACCTTCAACAAAACGTACAACGTGCACTTTAAGTACTTTGAAGATTTCTGGCTTGACGAGGAGAAGAAGAGAAAGGAAAAGTGGAAGAAATTGTGGCATTTGCACGAGACCAAGGAGAAGGAAGGCAACGACGATAACAGCGGCAGCGGCGGCGGTCCGTCGGGGGAGAATAACCAGGACAATGAGGCGGATAACCTCATCAACAGCATCTTTCACACCATAGTGAGTGACAAAAATGAGTCCAATGATAGCTGCCAGGCACACAATGCCTTCGTCGATAGCGAAAAAACAAAGAACGAATTAAATTTCCTTGAGAAGAAAAATTTCCGCATTAGACTCTCTTCCCAATTGTTTGATGAAAAGGAATTCGACCAGCTGTTTATTGACAGGAAAAAGATTTGTTTGGCTAATGGCGATAGCCAAAAGGACGATAACAACTCGTGCTCAGTGGAGGAAGAGGAAGACGAGGAGAACAAGGACGACAAAGACAAGAAGACCTGCTTGTATATTGAACGGAAGGAGGGCGAGGAGCCGTGTAATAAGGTGTATCCCTAGCCAAGGGGAAAAAGAAAAAATATATATATACACATAAATACGTATGCATGTGCACATGTGCCTGTCCCGCCAGTTGTCAGAAGGGAAAAAAAAACAAAAAAAAAAAAAAAGATTTTCTAGCGGGGTAAAAAACGAACAGAGCAATACGAAATGCATCCGCAACATTTTTCAAAAGAATCCCAAATGTATTACTAGCAAGGCCAAAAGAGAAAGCAGAAAAAAAGGGACACCCTTTTTTTTGTTACGCGCCCCCTCTCAAAATGCGCTTATATGTATTTTACACCCCAAGGGGGTTGAGTAGTGCGTTAAGAAAAAAATAATATACCCATGTGAATGAAAACATGCACAAAATGGAATTCTTTAAAAAAAAAGAAGAGGACGAGATGCATTCAGTTACCGTCCAAGATCCACTGAAAAAGAATTAAAGCACTCGCGCGCAGTACAATAAGGGTAATATAGGGGCAAGCACATTTTGCATACTTCCGGCAAGGAAATAGGAAGAGCTTTAATTTTTAACATTTTTGCCATTACCTTTTTGTTTGACATTTTTAAGTCTTTTCTTTTTTTTCTTTTTGTGCTTTTGTTTTTCCCCTTTTTTGTTGTTTTTTTTTTTTTTTTTTTTTTTAATAACATGGACATTCAAGAAAAACTGCACGAGGTGAAGAAGCTGCTGGAGCTGCAAACCTGCAAAAAGGACGAATCGAGGGAAAGTCTGATAAAGCTGATGAGGGAATTGTATTTGGCATATATGCTTCACCGGACTGAGGAGGTGAATAAATTTTTGAAAATAATACAAAGAGTGGAATGGGAAAGAGAAAGCACTAGGAAGGGGGCTACAAAAAGGAGGGAAAAAAAAAAAAAAAAAAAACATGTGCATGCGTATGTAAACGTGACTGTGGAATAATTCAAAGGCACAACACAAAATTGCAGTGTAGCCATATTTTTACACCCATCATGTCCGTGTGTATTGTCGTTTTATCACCCCATTTTTTGCATATTATAATGGGAAAAAAGGAAAAAGAAAACAACGCTGCTATATTACACTAGAACAATCCGCTGTAATGTCTTCCCTGTGTGGTTCATACGCATACGTACAACGCTTGTGTGTCTATCCCCATTTGCACGTGTGCCATGGGACGCTAATTAAAAGTTTGAATATTACACCTGTCAAGGGGAAGTATAAAGTATTCTGCGCTATTAGATGGTCTTCCCATTTCTATTTTATTTCATTTTTTTTTTATTAATACGTTATTTGCAAACCTTCCAATGTCATGCTTCCTCGTCCTTTTTTTCTTTTTTTTTTTTTGTTTACCTTCAAATGTGAAAGTGAACACCCGCCCAATAACTTCGCCATTTGTCCATCTCTTTTTTTGTCTTTTTAATTTGCTTCCATTCGTTCGATATATAATGTAGGGGCTAGCCCACGTGGTGCGCACAAACTGTGGACAATAAACCGCTTACATGGAGCTGCGGAAAGCGCTCTTAACGTTTGACATTTGGCGTTGTTTGCTTAGAATGAATCGATAAACCGATTCTTTACGACTTGAGTTTTGCAAAGATTCCTTGAGGAGCCTTTGCGGGTTTTGCGTCCTATGTGGTGTGTGTACGTGTTCCTCACGGTCTTTTTGTTTTGTTTTGTTTTTTTTTTTACGGCTAGTTGTTAATAAAAAAATATGAATGGGTCAGGCAAAAAAAGAGAACAACGAAAAAGCTAGCCACACTGGGGGGCCAACTTGCACACACGCATAGACAAGGCAGCACTCCTACAAGACGCCCCGCCCCCCCAAACGACATACTCATTTTGACACTCTCCCTCAACACTCCTCCCCCCTGTTCTTTTTTTTTTTTGTCCATATTTGCAGCAGAGAAGTATAAAAGAAAAGGCCATTCTGCGCCTTCTGCTTGTCCATGTGGACAGCGAAAATCACACGAGCAATAGGGAAAAAATCCTAATGGTCAATTTAATAAGGCTAATTGAAAAGGATGCCATGGAACTTTTTTCGTGCTATCCAAACATTTGGAAGGGAAATAACTCCCCTTTTTTTTTTTACATTTTGGCGGCACAACATGTTGAGAAAAATTTGAGTACCAGTTTTTTCTCCCTCCTTAAAATCTCAAACTGCGCTTACAAAAATATGTACATAGCTTTGCTGCTCTTCAGTTCGAAGGACTTTGAAACGAAAATGAGATGCCTGAAGTATGTTTTTAACCAATGTGTGCTGATGAGTGATGGGAATGCACATGAAGGGAAGAAGGAGGTCGGCCAAGTAGCACGCACGATTTCCTTTACCGAAGCAACACACTATTTCCACTTTCTAGTGGAAGAAAACGAACCTATATATGTTGAAAGACAGATGAGTTGCTTTTTCTTTTCTGTGATAAATGATTTAATCAGGCAGGACTACGTGGCTTTGCTGAGGGAGAGGTACTGCAAGGAGGGGAGAACCCTGACTGTTCATGTCCCTCTTCTGGGTGGAGTTGGTTGCATATCATGGGGAATCCAACATACATATGAACAATTTGGTGCATAGAGGCACATGTACATACGTACGCCCCCCCTTATGTCATGATCAAATGGGGAGCCGTGGCGTACGGAGTACATGACTACACCCACAAAATGAATTGCGCTACCCCCGAGCTACGCTACAATGCAAGGTTGTAACATTCGGCCCGTTCCACTTTGCAGGAAAAGGGAGAACGACGAACTTCGGTTGAAGCTCCTGGTGAAAGGAATGAGCAAGGAAAAGTCAAAAACGAAAAATAAATACGTGCATGACCTAATTCTCTACACTTCCAGTAGAAACATTTTAAGTGCCTACTTTAACAACAATGAGGATGCCATTATGAGTGAGCATCTGAGGGGGGGTGAACAAAATTTGGGTAAGAAACAGCACGCAGAGGAGAGCCGAAAAGGGGATTGCTCCAATGGGTATTGCCTCAACGGGGAAGGAAGCAAAAAATTAAGCACACCTAAAAGGGGAAGCACACACTGCAACGGAGCAGCAGAGGAAGAAGCAACCCTATGCTCTACCATTGAAAAGCACTACGATGTAGACTTCCTCAGAGGCATTTTCTTATATGTAAAAAGCATGATAAATTGTTATTACGACATTTTTGTAAAGGAGAAAAAAGGCAGCTCGGTTGAGATGAGGAGGAATTACTTCACCTGTTTCATGAACCATAGTATAACCATCTTGATCCACATATGCTTGTTGGACAATAACTTTATCAGCAGCTGTTATGAATTGATAAAGGATGTTAAAAAGAAATTTGAAGTTCACATGAACACATCTATCATCGTTCCTATGGCAAAATTTATTTTATTTTTTTCCTCACCCGAGAAATTTTTTCAAGTGTCTAATTATCTCCTTACCCATTTTGTAATGGAATTTAAAAGCTACCTTGCAGCCGTAACCTTGTTTGACTTCATCATGAGCAATATTAACATTCTTCATCAAAGGAAATTTTTTTTTAAAAAATTTTGCTCCATCCTATTGAAGACCTATTTTTTTCACCACCATATTTTCAAGCATGACTTGATTGCCCTTTTGCCTTGCTTAATCGATGAGAATAATTACAAAGACGTTTTTTATTTCCTTCTCTACGCCCCCGTGTTAGTGGACCTGGATGAAGTGGTATCACAATGGGGAACAAAAAAAAATTGTTGCACCCATAAGGTGGAGTCACCAGGGGGAAATAAAGGGGGAGAGCAGGAGGAATTCCCTTGTGTGTGTATAGTTTAGTAGAATTAGAGAATTTTTATGTGTTGCGTCCACCCTAAACCTTCACATGACTATTTTTTTTTAATCACATACGGATGCTCAGGAAAGTACCGGAGAGTTGAATTCACCAAAAGGAGGAAGCAGACTTTCTCCTACGGGTAGCGATTTGAGGGGTACCCACAAAAAAGGTTCGTTCTTGCGTGTACATTTGGACAGATAGAAAACGGTGTTTCCCTTATGCGGACGTCTGTCCTCCCCAATGTGCGGCCCGTTATTTCTAACTTTCTCTTCCTTGTTTCTTCTCACACATTTCACATCACTGTGTGTGTCCCCTTCCAATATCTTAACCCACGCAGCGGTGCTCATCCAGGACTTAAGCGGGCTCACATTACACGGGTAGGCGTGTTTCCCCTGGGCGCATGGCGCTCCGCATGAGTGGACTTTTTACCCTTCCACTTCATCTACGCCCACTTTCAGCGCCACTCACACGCACGCACATATACACGTACATGCATACATACACGCGCACTCTGTAGAGACACGAAGAACAAGCGACGCATGGAGGACATACGAGAGAACATGCACAAATATTTCAGGGCCTACTTCGAGACGGTCCTGATGATCGGCGCGGGTGGCGATCGGAGAGGCAGTGCATGTGGCGATGGGACGGGAAGCTGCCCCCCCTGGAGGCACGAACTAACAAAAATCATTTTGCTCAGGTTGGCTTGCCCCGACATTCTAATCATACTAAATAAGGAAAGCATAAAGGAGATGCTCAAACATATTAGTCACTCAGTTCGCTGCAATCCCAATCTGTTGATTCTACTGAAGGATGAATTTGTACAATTATTACAAAATGAATCTTCCATGTACTACCACTTGGTGAGTGAAAAAGTGTTGCAGATCGTCGCGGAGAATACGAAACGTATGAACATTACTTATGGTGACATTGAAAAGTATTACGTCACTTTACATTCTTTTTTCTCTGGGGGAAATTACAAGGAGGTAAAGTTTTGGGTGTCCTTAATTCATGCCTTTACCAACATAGCCGTATACTGCCACGACTTTGCTGAAAGCGTTTTACGTGTGTACGCTGCTTTTCTTTCACGGAGCGACGTAACTCTAATGCTCAAGCACATCGTCACTGAGCACGTGGGGATGATAAAGAACGTGTCTTATGCAAAGGGAGAGTTTTTTTCCTAGCTGAGCAACAAAAAAATCAATCCATGTGTATTCTACACCTTTAACGAGACGCGTTTGATTGAACATTTGGTGGGGTCGCCTGTCTGCGTGCTTCCAACCATGCGTAGTGAATTAAAAAAAATTAATAAATAAATAAGACATTGTAAAATGAGGTAGGGCAACTGAACACAACAACTGGGGACAAGCACACCTTGCAAAAACAAACACCCAGTGGTATAACTTGTGCGCTCGCTAAAATGAGGCTGACGCAGGGATGTAGGTTCGGAAGTAACCACGTGGTTGCACTGGAGCAGAATCGAGCAACTCTCTTTTTTCTAACAAAAAAAAAAGGTGACATGGAAAATATGTGCCAAATTGGGTACACGGCACAAAAAAAAAAAGAAAAAAAAAAGAAAAAAAAAAATGGGGGGCTTCCTCCTTCACTGCACCGCTTCTACATTCTACGGATTGGCAGTGCGCGGAGTGCCCTGCTGCACATTCGCATTTGCCCCCGCAGTGGCAGCTCCTGCGGCAGTCATTTGCATCTGCCTCTTCAGCTGAATGTAATTTTTGCAAAGGTCTATTTCGTTTTTTTTTTCTATAAGTGTAATTTTGAGTTTTTTTATTTGTTCATTTAGCTTGCTTATTTTATTATTGAAGTACTCGATGGTCTGCTTGGCGTTCCTCTGCACGTAGTAGTTGGTCCCCATGCGTATGAGGAAGTTTTCCGTGTCCACGATTTTGCCTGCGGTGGTGGGGCGGCGAAGCGGTAGTGCGATTAGTGCGGTAAGGCGATTAATGCGGTGCAGCGAAGCGGCAATCTTCACGCGCTGCGCGACGGCTGTGCACCCTGCTCAGCTTCTAACAAGGTTAATCGGCCAACCGCTTCCTTACCCGGGATGTAAACTAGGGACGTGAGGGGGATGTGTACATCTAGCGCCTTTTTCTCTTCATCCTTCTTGTTAATGTCGATCTGGTCGATCAAGGTGTCGAGGTGCTGCAGGCTGTCCTTTGCACTGGCCTCTGCACCTTCGCTGAGAAGTCTCCTGCCAGAAGTCTGTTCCCTATTACAAAGTTTAATCAATTCAGATCGCTCCAGCTCATTCATAAAGGCATTGAAATTTTTTGCTTCGAACTTGCTAGGGTTTAATTGCTCAACGGAGTTTTTGCACTTGTCGTACGTCACCACTGCGCCTTCCAATATGGCGTAATTCTTTTTTATTAGCTTCCATTCCTGTGGAGGGGTAAAAAAAGGATAAGCAGTGACTGACATAAATGAAATGCTTAACCGTTTAAAGATGAGCAAACTGGGGTTATACACTTGCCACACGTGAAGGACATTTGACTGAGCGGCTGGCAAAATGACACGCCCATGTAGGCAGTTCGCGTAGCATACCTCCTCCAGCTTCAACGTCAGTGATATGAGCTCGTCCAGCCCCAGCGAATTCAACTGAATGACCACGTTGGGCTGCTCCCTCTCCTTCTGCTCAATGATCTCTAAATCGCACGCCATTGTAACAGGTGAAGAATACACACACAGAACAGTACACGCAGAAGAGAGCAAAGAACAAGTTCATGAGGCCGTCCGCGGTTCAGGGTTCACGTCAGGGGGGCCAATCTACACACCACCAATGAGCAGGCAAACAATACACACACAATATGAGGGGGGAGGGAAAATGCCTTTGGGATTATCTCACACTATTCCGTGATGCGAAACGTGAAGCGCGCACTCTGCCGAAAGAGGAATTGTTAAACTTGCGGAGGTTGACGTGGGGTCACTGCATATGGGGCCTTTAATGCGATTTCACAAAATTGGAAATGCTGATGTGCGCCGAACGAATGCCCCTCATATCCACTCGAGGATGACGTATCGAATAAACCTCACACAAATACACAGTTTCCAATTTTGTATATTTTCCTCACCGTAGGGAAGGAAAAAAAAAAAAAAAAAAAAAAAAAAAAAAAGAAATGCCGAATAAAATTCCCCAGTGTAGCAACGTACGTACGAGGAGGTATACAGTGCCACGTGGCGGGAAAAAAAAAAAAAAAAAACAAAGGTTACGCCTTACAAAAACAGTTTCTCATTCGGTAGGGTATATTGCAAATTGTGTAACCACGCGGGACTACTCGATATATCACTGCCTCCTCACGTTGTGTTGAAGAAAAAATGAAACGGAACATGGCAAGGATATGGCGGAAAAGTGCCCATGCTTTTTAATAACAGGGTGATGGAAAAATCCACTCACATACGCACCAAAATGTATGCAAAAAAAAAAAAAAAAAAAAAAAAAAAAAAATAGCACAAGGCCAACGTGAAGGCGACCAACGCTATTCTCAAAATTTTTTTTTTACGAATAAACCTAAATAGGGAATCCGCCGAATTATAGATGATAAGCATTTTTTTTTTTTTTTTTTTTCTTACCCAATTGACAACACTTCAAATTGGAATGCAAATAACGGCGAGTGGATTTCAAAGCCACCCACGTGAATCGAAGCAAAACCAAACCACGCTCAAAACGCAACTGAAAAGAAGTTGATTCTGGCAGGGACGTACATCTACGTGCACTGCAACCAGAGAGAAAATATAAGTCCCTAGGATTGTTTCAGTAGTATAGAGTTTTTCCCCCCCTGCGCAGTCGTCCGGGGTTGTTTCTGTCCCTTGAGCGGTATACGTACCATTATACAAAAAAGGCTGCTTTCTCGCGGGTATATAACTAACCCGGACCAACGCGTCGCCCGTCGCATACGAAAGTACACAGCATTTGCAAACAGGAGAAAAAAGGTGCCCCGCGGAGGGATACTCTCCTAAGAAAAAACAAAAAGGACGCATCTGCCACGGAGTGACTTCTCCGATTGTTACCTCCCACCGCGTCATTCCACTAAACGTAACTCTCTGCACTGCGCCCAATGGACCACCAAGACCTGAAGCCCGTCATCTGGCACAAAACGGAGAAGAAGCCGAAGCCTAAAAACATAGGCGAGGCGAGAAAGCTAGGCATTGATGTGGAGGTGGAGAAAAAATTCCTCGGAGGAAAAAATAAATCCTGCAAGGGAAATTTAATAATAGAAAACAAAGCCAAGATAGAACAGGAAACGGAAAATTTCAGAATCGATAGAGTCACTCCCGTCTTTTCCAGAGCCTTGCAACAAGCAAGAATTAATAAAAAGCTAACACAAGCTCAGCTAGCTAGGCTAGTCAACGAAAGTGAATCTGTTATAAAAGAGTATGAGAATGGAAAGGCTATCCCCAATAATGTTATAATTCAAAAGTTGAACCGCGCCTTGGGTATTAATTTACCTTCCCCCAAGAAGACGTGAAAAAAAAAAAATCCCCCCATATTTGCAGCTCTGAAAATGATGTACACAATACAGCGCATTCGGATGATTGCCCACTTTTGTGTGTAATTTGTACATCACTTGAGCATTTTTTTTTTTTTTTATTTTTTTTTTCACCGCTGGCTCCATTTTTTCCATGTGATTTTTAAATAATTATTCAACTTTTATGTATCTCTCAATGGATGGAATTGGCTTATGGGGGGTGACATATTCACCTCGGCGAGCGTGACCCCCATTTGTATTAATCGGAAAGGGAATAAATAAAAAAAAAGAAGTGGTAGCCTTTCTGTGTAGGTCACCTTTTTTGCATTTCTCCCGGAGTGCATATATGTGTCGCGTGTGTTCACCCCTGCATTAAAAAATGTGTGAGGAACATCCGGGGCTGTCTGTGTTCACTTCATGTTGGTACGGCCCGACGAAGATGTAGCAGTCGTTGTATGCCCACTGCAAATGGGAGGGGGGGGGAATGAATTTGCGACACGTGTGTAGGGGTGAAATGGTGTTGTGTCGTTAGGAGGTTATTTCTATGCCAAGGGAGCGGCGCGCCTTCAATTATATATGCCTTGCAGGCGCAATTTCCCCGTACCGTTTCCGCATTATGCTTGATGGTAGCCATTTGACTCGACTTCACCGACACGGGCACGGGCGCGGCGTAGGGGTACTGAAGGAGGGGGGCGAAGAGGAAGCACGAAAAGATGAACCAATGTTGAGCATGCTTCTACGCATAGCGCTCAGATATGGCCACCCAGGAAGCTTGATAAAAGGCTTAATTGGTTACACATGTTATTAAACCCTGAACCGCTTCGCTCTGTAGGGCGCCCCCTTACCCCGGCTACGCCCCCTGCATCATCTCGATTCACAAAGTAGAAACCGGGGTAGAGGGAGCTGCTCCAGTTTCTCTTATTCAAATGTAGGTGCCTGATGGAGGTGACGTAATTGACCAAGTCATTTTCAATTGCAATGCCAGCCAGCAGTCCATGTGAAAAGGCCAAGGAATTATCAAAGTGGGTTGGGATGCAGCAATTTATTTCTCGGTCTATATTTTTAATTACACAGTTGAAATGCTGGAGGTAGTTTAGGTCATTATAAAGTTTCACATTCCTTGCCATGACGTTTGTATGTACATATTTCATGTGTTCATGGAAGGAATAGGGTTCGTTGCTTTGCTTCGCCTGTTCCATTAGTTGGGTTATGTGTTTTTTGATCCGGTCGATGAGAAAATTTTCAAAATTAGAGTCGACCTCATCATCGTATCGGTTCTCCTTGCGTAGTAGCTTCTCCTTCATGGACCTGGTACAGATGCGCAGCAGCTCTGCGCTTTCCTTGGTCAGTCTGCTCAGCGGCCTGCGCGGGAAGCGACAATGAGGCGATAATAAAGCGATGCTAGAGTGACGCGCACGTGATGGTGAACAGATGGCGAAGAGATGGCGAAGAGATGGCGAAGAGATGGCGACGTGATGGCTGCATAACCGCCACTACGGTGCGCTCACCCGTCGGGGACGTCCGCCTCCTTTATAAGTCTGTCCAGCTCGTCGCCATCCTGCACGTTCTCCTCCACGTCTGCAATCAGCCGAGAGAAGTCACTAATGTTTAGAAGCAAATTGGAGCTGAACAAAATGGTACCGTAATATTTCTTCCTGTTGATTCGCTCAACGATAATATTACAAATATGTCCCACCACCTCCTCCAGACTCAGCATTTGATATTCTATACATTCCCCCACTAAGCAAATATTACAATGGGTTTCTAATTGAACAGACAGCAAGGATAATGAGGATAGGTTGGTGGGTACCTTAACAAAATAATAATAGTTACTTGTATTCACAGCAGAGCTCTGCAAATTTCCAATCATATCACTAATGGTATAAATGATGGAATGGTACCCCATACTACATTCGATCAAATGTGTGTAGAAGCTATTGTATAAGGAGACTGGAACCGTGATGATTATAAGATCATGTTTGTCTTTTATAAAATACTCATTCAAAATATTCATAACAGTAATGACTTTTTCATCTCCTATGAAGACCAAGTGTCTTATTTTCTTCTGTTCGCAATTGCTAATTATTTGCTTGATGTATTTTTCCTGAACGAGGTTATTCACACGAATGACTTCTCCATTGTCTTTTTTCCATTTGAGTTGAACACCCAACAAGGAAGCTCCTCCTAAATTCTTACAAGCACTCATATGATTATCTTTAAGAATATACGTTTCATTAGTGAGTAATCCTTTTATGCCTTTAACAAAACCGATCAGTGTTATGTTGCTCATGGATAATCGTTCGTGAAGCCCCACTAAAACGTTATTAACCCCTGGGACGGGGTGCGAAAGGATGGCAACTCCCACGTTTTTCTTTTCTTGAACGGAGATGTTGTCGCCGCACCTGCTTCTCCCCTTCACACTCCCCTTAACATTCCCCTGTGGCGTTCTAACCACGTATAAATCTCGTATCCTGTGTATGTGTTCAAATGGGGTGTAATTTAGCTTCGATTCGAAGTGGCTCTCCACGTGGGCAATTTCGCTGTTCTGTCGCATGAGGTTTGTGTTGAACTTTACCGGGGTGCTGCTCAGGGCCTTCTCTATGTCGGAGGGGCAGCCACGCGATGGGTGGTTCGCGTTGCCGTTAGCGTCGCTCGACTCCACCAAATAGCCGCCACTCAACCCAGACACGGTAAAGTTGACCCGATTGAACAGCTCCCCCCACTTGGAATCCCACGTGGAAAACGTATTAGAAAAAACCTTGTTCAGCTTAATGAGGGAGTCTACCGAGTTTTCCTCCCCATCGTCTGCCACGCTCCGCTCGAATTGAATCCCCCCATGGGTCCGGTACATGTCTCCATAGAGCAGCGCAGAGCGGTGCTTTTTATAAGTGAGAAAGTACGCACTGTCTAGGTTGACTTTATCTCTTTTAACAAACACCAATTTTTCATCATGACCAACATGTTCACTCTTGTGCGCTGCGGAAGAAATGTGGTTGTGTCCCTCCTCAGGTACTAAACTCCATGTCTTCCCCTCCTTCACCCGTAACAAGCTACACAGGGGTACCCCCACCAGCTGCACCTTCTCCACATTGAGTAACAAATTTTTTATTTTCCTAATAGAGCATAAATACCCGTTGCAGTTATTGTGGGCTATTTCAACACACCCCATACCTAGCAGGTAACTATAAGAAGAGTCGAAATTGGAGGGTAGAGAACAGGTAACCTCATTCGTGTATGCGTGTGAGACGAAGTGGAGGTCTCTCATATGGGTCTGTTCTATTTTTTCCTTCACGCAGGCTAGGAGCAGTTCTTCTGTCTTTAGGCGGGAGTACTGCATGAACACATTTTTTTGTGTGGGGGGGGAGAGAGGAAGCGAGAAGTGGTGAGATGTCATGTGAGGCAAACTTGAGAAGAGGATGAAAGCGTAACAGAGGGCGCTCTCTCCGCTCAATAGGGGGTCAAATTACAAACATCACCCCCATATTGGTGATAAGCCTATTGGGTAGGACAGAAAAAAAAACGAGCGGCGTTGAGACATACCTTGAACGTGTCCGACTGGATCTCCTCCAGGAGAGTCTTCTGGAAAAAGTCGGGCAGGGACCGGAACAGTTCCGCACTGTCTGTACTTGTCGCACCGTCAGGACTTGTCGCGTCGTGTGCACCGCCTGCGCTGGTCGCGCAGTCCGCATAGAACTGGGCAAGTATCCGCGCTCCCGCATCGTCCACATTTGGTACGCTGTGAAGAGCGCGCTTCTTGGCCCAGAGGAGGCTCCTAACCATTTTTTTAAATTCTCCAATTTTACCCAATAGCCCCTCAGGCACAATGACAATGCCATACCTCTTGCTGAACAGGTCGTACCTCTTCTGCACCATGTGGACCATGAAGTCGATTACATCCTTTAGCTTTTTTTTTTTTTTTTTAATTTCTTCGCTGATTAGAACTACGTTTGCCTTAGTTTGTAGGAAGCACTCGAGGGCCACATGACTTGAGGAGTTACCAATGACCCGAACAAAATGGTACCCAGTCTGGTATGTCCTCACATGAGATGTTAAGTAGCTTATGTATTGGCAGTAGGTAAAAACGGTCGTGTCAAATCCAAGTGCGCATTCTACTAAGTCGCTGTCTATCTCGTTGTGCACACTTTTCGGTGCGCACACGATACATGTTTTTTTCCTGCTTCGTTTCTTTCCTCGTCGAGGATACTTGGCCTTTATTTCTGCGTCGCTTAGGTCACTCACAATTTGGTATGTAGGGTCGTCCCCCTGTTCTTCACTCTCACGCTCAGCTGCCCTCGCTAAGAAGTGCACATGTTCAAAGTACTCCGCTAACTCGGTGATTTGTTTCTGGCTGTCTACCCCCCCTACGATAATCAGCCCGGTCAAGTTCAACTGCCTGCAAATCTTAAAGCACTTCCTCTTTCCACTCTCACTTAAAAAATGAAACGAGCTACTCTTCAGCATGTCCAACCCTCCACTGTTTCTAAACATACTAATGTATTCATTTTTGAGCTCCATGAAGGAGTAGTTTTTCACGCCTTCAAAACCGTTGATGAAACCATATAGGGTGTTTTTTTTATTCTTCTTCTTGAGACTGTCTAGCATCCCACATACGATGTTGTGTCCTCCTGGTGCCGGCAAACCGGTGAACAATACGCCCATGTTTATCGTATCACCATCCTGTGTGCTCATGTCGAGCAGCTCCTGGAGTGTGGAATGCTCTGTGCAGCAGTTCCCCCCTGCGCATGTGTCGTCTGCCAGTTTGGTCGAGTCTGTCTCGTCGAAGGACTTTTTCTTATCAACGCCGTTATGCAGCGCCTCAGCCACTGCATCCTCTGCGCATAAGTGAATCACGGGCTTCTTAAATAAATGGGGGAAGTGCTTCTCCAGCACGTCTTCCCATGGGTGCTCTCCCCTAAGGGCATTTTCCCGCGGCTGCTCTCTTATGACTACTTTCCCCTTCAAAACACGCGGCAGCGAAATCTTCTTCTTCCTCCTCTCCTTCTGCAGGTCGCTCAGGTGCTTCTTGGCGTTCTCGATGTCCATTTTTGAAATTTCAGCGGGGCGGCGCGGTTGCGATTGCGATTGCAGTTGCGTTCCCCGCTATCCCTCCCCGGAGCCGCGGTTTCTACGTGGTGCAGCTTCTACAGTGGAGGTGGGGATACCTAAAAAAGGAGCCTCACCTTAAAAAGAACCTCAAGTAGGAAAAGTCCAATTGAGACAACAATTGATTCCTGGTCAGATAAACCGGAAGAGCTACGCACGTGGAGTTTGTCTGTGAGAATACCCCTTCTCACCACATATAACAATTAGGATTCACTTTGCAGAAGAACATTCAATATATATAAAATTAAGTCTACCGTTTAGGGTTTAAAAAAGGGGAAGAAAGGAAGAAGAACGTTTGTTTGTCTGTCTGCACGTATACTTATACATGTATGCGTACATTGAGCAGTGGTATGTTCCGTTTTTTTTTTTTTTTTTTCATATGTATGGTCATAATTTTCTGTGTAAAAATGTAGATATTACTACCCTGGGGGTATATAATATGATTTGTTCCACCAGGGGAAGAAGGAACATCCGATGATCTGTGTTAAGTGTTCTTTTGTTGTGCAGTTGTGTGGAGTGAATGAGATAGCTGCTATAGCTAGTAAGACTTTGTCAATTGAAAAAAAAAAAAAAAAAAAATGGACAGCGACGAAACATACATAATGAGAGGCAGCACAATGTGACGTGACCCCCTCCCCATGGCGTCATAACTCGGCGAAATCATTAGAGTCATCTCAGAGCACCACTCACCTGAGCATGTACAAATGTATACATTTGGGTAAGCCACTGGTGGGGGGGGGAGCCGCCATCTTCCTTGTACATACACCAATTTTTTTTTTTTTTTTTTTTTTTTGGGGGGGGTGAAGGACCATTCCTATAAAGCGTATTCTATACACCAGTGAATAAAATTTCCATCACATACTTCAGTACGTATTCTATGCCTGCATGTTGGAGGGGAGCGATATAAAAAGCGGTTTTTAAATATGGGTCACAAATGGGGTAAAAGACGTAACGGAAAAAATGAACAGTGGCGTTGGACATTCAAACGACATGAATGATTTGCTATCCGGGGGACATCACGCTGGGCACATTACCTTCGTGCTGCAACTCGTTTATGGCACTGGAAGGGACGGGATGGGGGGGAAAAAAAAGGGGGGAGAATGCATGAAATATTGTCGCAGTGCAAAGGGGGACATGCAAAGGTGTAACTACAAATGTCTAAGTGCAAACTTGTGAGTGTATGTGGAGTAGGGTTCAGGGGAAGTGCGCCCATGTCGCCTGTGATCACACACACAGCAATCAACACGTGCCGCCAGTTACGCCAATCACGCCACTCCGGCCAGCTACCTCAATATTTTCTCCTTCTGAGCCTTTTCGTAATCCTCGTAGTGCTTCTTAATCTTGTACTGCTCATAAATGCCCTCGACGATTTTTACACAAGCTGAGTTATTCTTTCCGTAATTTGTTACAATCTTTATTTTGTCCGATTCGGAACATACTTCAAAGGTCTACACAGTGGGGAAAAAAAAAAAAAAAAAGGGGGGGGAGAAAAGACGAGTTGGTGAGTGAAGAGTGGGTTTGGTATACATGTGTGTAAGGGAAGAATAAAAGTGTTCGTTTTTTTTTTTTTTTTGCTCTGTTTTTTTCCCCCTTTTTGCGGCCTCTACACAAGCATTACCTTTATCAAGGGCCACGTTAATTTGTTGTTCTGAATGTCCGAGCCCACCTTGCCTGTCTTCTTGCTGTCACCGAACGCGTCCAAGTAGTCGTCATGGATCTGTGCCGCGATGCGGTGCGGGGTGTGGTGTGACGCGGTGTGAAGTGATTTTTTTATTATTGTTTCGTGCACTGCATTATGCCTCGTGATGCATAAACGGTGGCAGGTTTCATCGCGGGGACGCCGCCTCCCCACTGCGACGTCTGATAAGCCCACCTGGAAGTACTCGCCCATTAACATGGAGATGTCTTCAATTTTTTTGTAAATCAAATTGTCCATTGCAATTCCCGCTAGTAACATGCCTACGGGGAGTTTACCACAAGTGAATTGTGAGACAGAAAAAAAAAATTCAAATGAACTGATTTTATGAAGTGAGAGATTGTCCTCCTCATGGACACTTGTTCATATGGGGTAAAAGGACACAAATGTATGCTACGAGAATTTCTCCCACTGCACGCACCACAAACAATGGGCAGAAAGAAGGAGTAATAGGCCGTCTTGTGAATAATTATATTTTTATACACCTTGAAATTCAACATATTAATATTAATGACTTCCTCCTCTGGGGCGTTTATACTGCTAACGTCAATCTCTCGCTTCATGTCATTGTACTTGTATGAAAAGATATTCGTGTCGAGGTGTTGCCCGATGATTGTTTTGAGCGTGGAGTCTCTGAAGGTTGAAAGGATGTCCACGTAGCAACTCTCGTTCCGCAGGTATATTTCGATCAGCCTGGGGGTTGCAAAAAAAAATAATAAATAAATAAATATTATACTAATGGGAAGACAAAACCAAATACACCCCCATTAATGCATGTTAGCCAAAGGGGATAATGTGACCATTCCCCAATCATTTCCTGTTTGAGGCCTCTTACTTGTAAATCGAGTTATACAAGAGCAGCACGTCGTTCACAGCGTTCTTCGTCTCCACGTCTTTTAAGAGATACCTACGTTGGCGCAACAGCACAAAAAAATGAAAAAAAGAAAACGCATTCCTATATGAAAAAGCTAGTTCGAACAAATGCATGCATCTACATCTCACATGTAGACACATCGTGCACTCGCCCCCTCACCAGCAATATTTTTTTCTTCTCGTCTCTCCTTTGTCCATGATATCGTCCGCCACTAGGAAGGAGGCCTGCAGGATTTCTATGCACCACGCTGCGGAGAGAGAAAGGAGTTTTTTTTGCAGCATGGGGAAACGTGTATATAATTTTAATGGCCATTGTAGCGGAAGGCTTCTATTCCCCTTATGCTACACGGTGCTTCCCTTGCGGGGAGTTCGTATGTGTGCAAGAACACAACGTAGGAGAGCCCAGTTGAAATGTGCCATAAGTACAGAACTCCCCACGATAGACTCGTCTTTACCCAAACAGGCTGCCTTCTCCCACTCGCTGCTGTTGATGTCCCTATTCTTCACATACTCGTAAATGAGAATTACTAATATTCCCCTGTTGTATTTTCCCCCTGGGGGAGAAGTTAAAAGAGACAAAAAAATAAAAATGCGTTTGTGATGTAATCAGGTCGCCACGAGTGCGCTTTCTTTTCGCACCCATACACCACGAACACCCCTGCTGCACATCTACAAGATGAAAGGGTGGGCAGGGGGGATGGAGAACCTACCCAAGCAGTTGTAATCAAACATGACTTTGTAGTACTTGGTGATGTGTTGCTTGATTTCCTCTTCCAGGGCATACTCGTTCAGGTGGTTCAGAAATGCATCTCGGTACTTGTCATACATCTGCGCAAAAACGACAGCATAAGAGAAGGGGGGGGGGGGGAGACCATACAAGGTGTGTGTAGGAATTGGAACTGCCAGCATGCAGGTATATATGTTACTAGCAGGGGAAGTGGCTACACGAGAGGCACACAGTCATCCCCATTTTACATTTCTAAAGAGAGCCAAGCCGCTATCTGCATCCTTTGAGTTTTTCTCCATCATGTTTTCTCCCCCCATGTGTTACACGTCCCTTCTTCCGTTCACACCAGGTGTACGCAAATGTGCGATGCGCCTTTATTATTCTGTATATAAATGCCCTGTTCTTAATTTTGCTGCCGTGGGGTAGGGGAGAAGCACATGTAGGTCATTCACCTGTACACCCATTCAACGCTGCACTCGTTCAGACTACACGCATTCAGACTACACATGCGGGGGGGAGATGCTACTCGGGGAGTTGCTTCAAAAATGTGATTCACGTGGGGGGAGAAATAAATAAAAAAGGAAAAAAGAATAAGGGTGTAGAAAAGTAAACCCCTTGGTTGACCCACCTCATGTGTTTTCCTTTTGCCAAACACAGTTGCCCTAAGAAACTAATTATGTGCGACGGGGCTCTCTCCACGTCATGTGCATTTTCGCAGAGAAACGGTTCGATGAGCTATCAGATATAATTAGGAGGAGGAGAGAAGAGGATGCACAATTTTTTTTTTCCTTCACAGTGAAGGGAAGAACCCTCTACACTCGTGTTGGCACTGTTGTGAGTAGAAGCGGTGTGCTAGCTTGTGCCCTACCGCGTGTATGTGCGTGTCCCAGTTGTGATGTGAAGGCAGCCAAAGGGGTGCTGACAAGAGGTCTCTTCCACCTTTATGCTTTCTCCCCCGGGTGAGGTGTATTAGCAGGTCGACTTTCCTCCCCCCAAAAAAAAAATAAATAAAAAAATACAAAAAAAAAAAAAAAAAATACGTTGGGCATAGGCAAAAGGGGAACATATACAATGACACCTATTTAGCGTCATCCTCCGCGTTCGCGAGGCACAACCCAGTCTCTCACTCCCATCGTGGGAGCAATACCAGTTACGCCAACGGCGAGCAAAAGGAGTACAGAAGCAGGGGTGGGTAACTTTTCCCTCCAATTGTGCAGCCACAGCAGCCTTCACGGGAAGAGCAGTACCCCTGGACGCGAGCGCCAGGACGTGAAATGTAGGAGAACAACACCTGGGAAAGAGAAACGGGAAATGGTCCACTCGGGGAAGGGCAGATTTGTTATCCATTCATTAAGAAGCTAAAAAAAAAAAAAAAACAAGCAAATTCAAGTCCAAATATATATATAGCTACCCATACATGCAGGTGCCTCTCTTTAGAATGCAATTTCTACATGGCCCAGTTTGTGTACGTCGTGCCAAGTGAGGGACAGAGGGGAACAGCTTACACAAGGAGGACAAAAAAAAAAAAAGGGGGACAGGCATAAGTAGGGGGTGTAAGAGACAAGCCGATTGGAAGAAACTCATAAAGAAAGAAGATCAACCAGACCCGCTGCATCCACCATGGACAGCGACTTCATCGACGAGGAATTCGTGTACGGAAAAGAGATAGAAAAAATAAAAAAAAAAAAAGAAGAAATATTAGACTGTCTCAAAAGTGTGGTAGACCCGGACTTAAAAAAAAATATTGTGGAATTAAATTTTGTGCGCAACTTAAAAATTAAAGAAACGGACAGTGGGAAGTATATCATTGACTTTGACTTGAACCTGACGACCCCTGCTTGTCCTGTGAAGGATGAACTGTTGGCCGAATGCCAGAACAAATTGGCTAACTACGAATGGATTCAGGAGACAAACATTAACACCACGTTTCTAAGCTTCAATGAACATGATGAAGAAGACAGAAGGAATAAAAAAAAAAATAAAAAAATTGAAAATGTGATAGTTGTGTACAGTTGCAAAGGTGGAGTTGGCAAGTCCTTCTTTTCAGTGAATTTTGCCTTTTACTTAAAAAAAAAAGGGGCAACTGTGGGGCTACTAGATGCGGACATTAATGGGCCCAGCCTTCCGACCTTGCTCCCCATTGGACATACCTATGCCAGGTTTAACAGTGTCCCGCGAAGGAACAGTAAAATATTTTACGACAGGGACACGGGGAAGAGGGAAAGTGGTGTGGGTGATGCGGCGGGAGAAAACGCAGGGGGGCAGGTTGACGAGCTCAGCGACTACGACACAGACCAACTCGCTGTGCAACAAAATGACCGCCTTCTGGAGGATCCCCTTATCGAGCCAATTCTCTACGGCGGTGTGAAGCTCATGTCTTACGCATATATAAAGAAGCAGAAGAACTTAGGGTTCTCGTCTTTTAGGGGACCCATCCTAAACGAGTTGATAAAGGAATTCATAAACCAAGTAGACTGGGGAGTGCTGGACTATTTAATAATTGACCTACCCCCTGGAACAAACGACATACATTTAAATCTGTTCGAGTCGGAGTATGTGGATGGGGTCCTCATGATAACGACTCCAAACGATCTCTCCATTAATGACGTAAAGAAAGGTATAAATATGTGTAACCATTTTAACGTGCCAATTGTAGGTCTGGTAATAAACATGAGCTCCTTCATATGTGATGGCTGTGAAAAGAAGCACCTGCTTTTTAACAACTGCGATTTGAATGAACTGAAAGAAGAATTTAATAACGTGTACGAGGTGCCTTTTCATTCTTTGCTCAGCAAAAATGTTTATAATGATGAGCAGACAGGAGAAAGGAAATTCCCCTTTATTATTTCATTTGAAAATCACCACCTGGTTCAGCTGTTGGAGAATGTGTTTCAAAGTTTAACTCGAGAAATAGCGATGATAAAATTTCAGCACAAATTAAATTTGCCGTCCATTCAGATTTATAAAAAAAATTTTCTACAATTATCTTTCGACTCGATTGACCACAAATTTGTTTTTTCGGATGACGTGTTGGTTTGCCACGTGAGGGATGTTCGTAGTAAATGTCCTTGTGATGTTTGCAGGGTGTGGGAAAAAAAAAAAAAAAAAAAAAAAAAATACTGGATGGTAACTTATATGTTAAGGAAATTGTTAAGCTGGGCATTTACAACGTTAAGATTGTTTGGTCTGATATGCACGTCTCGGTTTATTCATACTCCCACTTGAAGCACATTTTTCTGAGCTTGCGTTTGCCTGGCGACAACGCCTTGTGCAGGGCGGGTGGCAGCGCCTCCTTCGAGTGGTAAGCACACACACAAACATGCGTACACACATGCGTAGAGAGGTGGAGAAAGGGGTGACCACAACCCTTGACAACGCCAACACGTGCATCCCTTCTCACCATCACAAATAATTTGCTTGGCCATTTTATATCACCTTTTGCTTTTACTTTTTTTTTTTTTTAAAAACTCATTTGTTTGTATACTTTTTAAGCGTGGAACTATCCGCCCCACCCCCCCCCCCCCCCCCCCCCCCCCCCATATGCACATCACGCCGGACTGGCGAGGCTGACAAATGGGGATAAACTGCACTGTTAAAAAAGAGTTACACGAAAGGGGGGGGAAAAAAAAAGAATCAGGTACACACAAAAAATGGAAAGGTCGAGGGAAAATCATAAATATTGAAGGTGGAAGGAAGAAGCAGTGCGCATGCATCCAGTGCTGCTTACCTCGAGTTGGTTTACGAAATTTTTTTGTTGTATCCCCCCACACACATTAGACGCTATATTGTGAATTACCCCCCTTGGGAGGAAGCGTCTTGATTCTGGTTTCCACAATTAGAAGTAGTAGCTACATTGGTACTGTAGTTGGCCTGCGCCTGAATTATGTGCTCAATACATTTGGTAATATCCTGCACATGCATCATTTCTTTAACATTTAAAAAGTCGTTATATAATTTCTTTGTCCACGTGACAGGATCAAAGTACACCCAAGAACGGCAAGTGGTTAAGTTACCCTGATTGAGGAGCAAGTCCCGTGGGAAAAACCATTTTTTATAATTCAGGTGATACATCCACTTTCTCAGGTACAGCTCAGAGGCAGCATAAGCCTGCAGTACGTCCTTAGGTAAGTTGTAGAAAATGTAAAACAGCGTTTCTGTTTGGAGTTTTAGAAGGAGGGAAAGACGAATTTGAAAACGGGTGTTTAAATAACTGCTGGGCTTCACAAAATAATCTTCATTATATGTTGGGTCATCACTTATAGGGGAAGTAAATGAGGCGAATAAAAAGTCAGGCGAATTTAAATTCAACCCTAGGGTTGTAAGATCGGTTCCTAAGGCCAGCATATTCAATTGGGGGTCCGTCATCTTTATCACCTTTAGTATACCCATGAGTCCGTACTTCATTCTGTTGTACTTCTTAGCTCTCTCTGAAGTTTCGTATAGGAGTTCATCCAGCGGGATATTTTCTTCATTTGCGAGATGTATGTTTGCGTCTTCCCCCCCAGGTGCAGTACTACATCTGTAAACATTTGATTTCTGTTCGTTGGACGGGTCCATACTTCTGTTACCTATTATCCTGGTTGCCTGGCTCATCTTCGTCCGATATTCAATTGGTTGTCCCTCCTCCGCATGGTCGTTATTGCCCCTTTCGTACATGTAATCCCCCCTGCTTGGGCTGGATCCAGAGGTGGGGTCTGCACTAGCCGTGGCACAGTTAGTGCCCTGCGAACATAATTTTGCTTCTTCAGGATGGTCTACCCCGGGAGGGGGATCACCCACGTTATTCCCTTTTGTTAAATTTGCCTTAACAGATGCTTCACACCTTTGCACACATTTTTTGCCCTTTACACCTATACCATTATCAACATTTATTTGTATCGTGTTTGGTTCCTCTTCATTTTTTTGGCCCTCCTCAGGAACGCTTCTCTTCACTTCTGTGTGTCGCTTGTGAGAGGAGTCTCCTCCCCCCTGTGTGATACTACCGTCTGTACCTTGGCGAACGCATTTCATTTGTGTCTCTTCCCAACCTCGGTTTTCATTCCTCTTCTCAACATCATCACAGTGTGGAGTCCCATTTGAACACTTAACCTTGGTTCCCATTTCATCCCTCCCAGTAGCATAACAGCTTTCATTTTTGTCTTTAAAATGATCTCCCCCCTTTTCGCTCATTTTATTTTCCTTCGGGTTAGCCGAAAGGAGGTTACCATTTTGTGCTTCATCCAAAACGTCACTGAAGGGGTTCTTCTGATCTGCTTCTCCCTCGTTGTATATTTTTTCCCCACCTCTTTGGAGTTCACTTGGGGAAGCAGTAATGAGCATCCGTGTAGGATCTTCCCCTTCGCTAGGTGCATTATTATCATCCATCACATCTGACCCTTGGTCATTCGTTTCGCTGTTTACCATTTCATTATCTTCCCCTTTGCTACTTCCTCCTGCATTTTTTTTTTTTTTTTTTTTGGCCAACTTAATGGGATTCTTCCCTTTCTCTTTATTTCCTCTCCCCATGCTTCGCATCAGTTGGGTTAGAGCGGTGGTGTGTGTAAGGCTGTTATATTTTGGGGGGTGGTTCAGTGATAAGACCGGTGCCACTCAGGTCTGCGTGAACGGTGCGTGCGCTCCTTTATCTTTGTCTTGCCCTACTAGGGTTCCAATCGTACAGAGGTGCAAACTGCGCACAATGTAAGACGTAGGAGAAGTCCGTTGTGTGTCCTCTGTCCTTAACTAGGGACGCTGCATTTTCTCCGTTTCTATCTTGTTTCCGGATGGGTGTAAAAATAATATTTTTGGAACCGCTTCGAAATGCTTCCCTTTGCCTTGCCCTTTTCATTTGCATTTTTTTCCAGCTTGCACGCTGTATGTACATACACAAATGCGCTGCTCACGCGCAAGCGTAAGGTTAAGGGGGGAATAAACAGGACGTGGGGGAGAATTCACCTATTTGTGCCACGACCCTACTGTTTTTTTCTTTGTTCGTTTGTTTGATTATTTTTTTCACACCCACGTGTCAATCCGCAGTTGGAAATAACGTCCGCACAACAGGTGTACGCGACATTAGGGGGAGACATACCGGTGTTGCAAGCTATCCTTTAAGGACAGGGAAAAAAAAAAAAAAAAAAAAAAATTCGAGTTGCTTTCCCACGTAGGGGCACCTTTTTTCCAACATGTCCCAAAATAGCTACTCACAAAACTGTGTCCGCGTGAAGTTGTTTTTTTTTTCCCCCCTCAAGTGTGACAATATTTGTGCGTGCCTTTCTGCATTATTTCACAAAAAAAAAAAAAAAAAAAAACGCAACGTTGGTGCGGCGATAACATCACGTTAACACCGCGATAACACACCCCGTTGGCACACACCGGATGGTGTCCTTCCGCAAAAAAGGCACTTACTCTGCACCGTACTTTAGCCAAAACATATGCCCAGCTAAGCACAACACGGATGAATACCATATAAAATGGAACTTTTCACACAAAGTTGAAACGTGGAAAATATTGAAATTTCTTTTTCTCATTTGCTCTTTAATTTTGGTGCATTTTTTTTAAAGCCCTATTTGTGTACTCACGTTTGAGGCATTTCGAGAGTTTTTTCTTTTTTTTTTTTTTTTTTTTTTTCCCCTTTTTTCGGTTTGTGGTTCCTTCCCCCATGTGATACTTCGCATATTGACACGTTGATTGGCAGACCGTTCGTAAGAAGGTGTAAGGGAACGGCTGAATGAGCAGGGAAGCTGCTGAGCGGGTGAAGCTCTCCCTCTCCTTCGAGGATAATCCACCAAACGATCAACGCAGAAATGGAGCTGAAGAAGGCGTTCCTGTGCTGGGTGTTACTGGCCGTCAAACAGGCAGTTGCGCCGTCAGTGTACTTCTCCGGTGTGGACATAAAAAATATGAAAGGCAAGTACAAAGAGATAGAAGAGGGGCATGCCAAACAAAATGTGAATGATATATTTTTTCATGAATTAATAAAATCAAATTATCAACTCAACAGCAATATTATTGCACTGAGCACATCGAGGCATTATTTCAACTACAGACACACAAGCAATTTACTAACCGCATATAAATACTTGAAGCATGTAGGGGATAATATGGACAGAAATATATTGCTTATGGTACCATTTGACCAAGCTTGCAATTGTAGGAACATGGTAGAAGGCACCATTTTTAACGAGTACGAGAAGCCTTCAAATGAAGATTTAAAAAAAAAAAAAATGAAAGAAAATTTGTACAGCCATTTAAATATAGATTATAAAAATGACAACATACGAGATGAACAAATAAGGAGAGTAATTAGACATCGATATGATGCCTTAACTCCAGCTAAATATAGGTTATACACAAATGGGAACAGAGAAAAAAATCTTTTTATATACATGACTGGGCACGGAGGAGTGTCATTTTTTAAAATTCAAGATTTCAACATTGTCAGCTCTGCTGAATTTAGCCTGTACATACAAGAGTTGCTTATAAAAAATATATACAAGTACATTTTTGTAATTATTGACACGTGCCAAGGGTACAGTTTTTACGAGCAAGTGCTACATTTTTTAAACAACAACAAAATAAATAACGTCTTTTTAATGTCCTCCTCGGATAAGAACGAAAATAGCTACAGCTTATACTCGAGCAAATATTTAAGCGTCTCAACAGTGGATCGATTTACTTTTTATTTTTTTTCCTACCTGGAAAATATGAACAGAATATACACAAACGAGCCGCATAAAAATGCCAAGGCATTTTCCTTATATAGCATCTTGAATTATTTAAAAACACAGCATTTGATATCAACTCCAACCATAAACAATTCGAAATGTAGCGTCTCTATGTTTATGCATAGTAAAAATATTCTTTTTTATGACTCCTCCGGTTTTTATGTAAGTAAGGACGCAGAGGAGGGTGCGTTGGATGGGCTGGGCAAGAGCAGTTATAGCGCCAGCCAAAAGACAGACAAAACTGCAATTGGAAATACATGTTTGGGAGACTTGAGGGCATGTGGGCATATGAAAAATGAACTATATACTCACATGGGGAACCTCTACACGAGGAGCAGCTTCTACAACAATGTCGATGTTTACTTCAAGGAGGAGTCCTACTTCACGGACTACTACTTTACCGCCGAGCGTTTTGCTGGGGGGTACTTGCTCCCCGCTTTCCTTTTTTTAGTGGTAATCGCGTTATGCCTGCTTTTTTTTCTGTTCACGTAGATTGCTCTTTTCGCGCTTTTGGACTGATGAAAGTTTGGGGGGGGGATTATGCCTTTTTTTTTTATTTTTTTGCTGACCGTTCAGGCATTTTTTTTTTTTTTTTTTTTTTTTTTTTTTCGTACCATCCGTTTTGTTGTTCTTTTCTGAACGTTCAGGCAGTTTTAGACTTTTTTTGCTTTTTTTTTTTTTGTGTGTGCGCTGTTACTTTTATTTCCCGCACCTTGACAGCTGGGAGAAAAGAAAACTTTTGGCTCTTTGGCAAAAAAAAAAAAAAAAAAAATGATTATATGTTTATCGTTCAAAGAAAGCATTTCATTAGGGTAATTTTCCAAATGTTCTCCTAAGGATAAGAAAAATGATGATTCACATTTAGGTAAAGCGTCCCTTTTTAGCAACCCCGAATTGTTACACGGTGTTGGTGGCGGCGAGTGGTATTAAGACGGTTCCAAATTTTCCAGGCGCCTATTAGTAGCTATGCGCAGCGATGCAGGTTGGGGCACCCCCAAGGGTGGGCCAATGCGCGGGCGGCGACGCGCATACACACACCCGGCCGAATTAATTTCCACACCTGTCCAACTTTAACAAATCTGAAGGGGAAAGACAGACACGAAAGTATTCCCGTATATGTATTCGTGTATAAACATGTGTGCATACCGTGCTAGTGCGGGCATACAAAAAATACAGTTGCGCGAGATGAAAATTGTAAAGTAGAAGAAGCTGTGCACCAGGTGGAACTACAAAAGATCGATGATATATCACACTTTATTTTTTTTTTTTTTTTCCAAACACATGTATGCTTTGCTTCCCCGTAGGGAGTTACTCCCACGTGAAAAAAAAAAAAATTAGCTACAGCAGCATGCGTACGTATATGCGTACATATATGCGCACGTGTGTTCTTTTTTCCCCTTTTTGCGTAAAGCGTGAGGGGCACAACACGTATTCTTCGCCTTTTGGTGGATTATTCGACAAAGACACACTCCGCTGCCGCAGACTAGCGAGATAAATTCGTAATCACATTTGTACTTTTGCAGATCGGGTTTCAACTTTTGCGTTGCGCTACTCATGTTGAGTACTGCACATTGTCTGTATGTACGTGTGTATGTCTGCATGTAATTTTTTTTTTTTTTTTTTTTTTTTTTTTTTTTTCTTCCCATGCTGCATAACTAAGAGTCGTCAACTTTTTTAAACAAAGACAAAGGACGACATTGTGGTGATGTTCCCGCTGCTACGAGTGTTCGGGTTGCGAGATAGATGAGTTGGCATTTTCCTACACGAGTACGCTGTTCAGATTTATGCCATTTCATCCTCGTTCGCTTCGCTCTGTTACAATACGGAGCGTTGAACGTGGTCAGCTCCTTGAAACCTTTGTGGCAGCCTTCCCTTATTAACGCATGCCCTTTTCTCCAATTTGTTTTTGCTGTCGTTTTGCTATTGCATGCTTGTGCGTTGCACGCCCATTTCTCTCTGTACGTTTTTTGTGCGAGGCGGGGATTGGCCCAGAGGGTAAGCATTTGTTCGGGTTAACCTTTTCGCATCCTTCTTTTTGAATAATTCTTTCTTCCCTTGGAAAGTTTTTGCACGACCCTATACGTGTACGTCTTACTTGGCGTTTAACTTTTTTTTTTCCCCCCCGCCATCGCTTCCTCTTGTTTGTGGCAAGTTCGACTTAACGCCCGTTAGCCGACAGGGGCCCTAGCACCCCCCCCAACAGAATACAAAAAAAAAAAAAAAAAAAAGGAGTTGCATTACAGCAAAAGACAAGTGCAACTGAAACAATGGATGTGAAGCACGTGGAGGGTTGCGAGTACCACGCCAGGGAAAGCGATCGAGAATGTATAGACGAAGTGAAAAAAGTGATGGACAAACTTATATATGAAAGGAAGAAAAATTTTCAAGGACAAGATAATTATTGTCGCAATTCATCCATGAGTATATGTCCTAATGTGTATTGTAACATTTACACAGATCTTCACAATTGGTTTGGATTTAAAAACTGCAAAAAAATTGACACTGAGTCTTTAAATACCTGCTTTACGGATATAGCAAATGGGGGGGTGGGTTATTATGAAAAGCTGATCGTACTGGGAGGAAGAATATTGGAGCTATACAGCGAGTTACATTTTTTTAACAGATACAACTATGAAAAGGATGAGGAGATTGTGCAAGATTTACGTAACATCAAGTTAGTAAAAGACGTTGTCTTCCAATACCTATATGTACAGAAGAGAAAAAATCGAGTCAATTACAAAAATAGCTTATACTTATTTGGCTACTCTTATCTGTACACACCTCTCTTTTTCAGAAACAAAAATTCAATAATAAAGTATGTTAAGGCATGCATAGCGTATGCTGTAAAATTTAGTGGTGCAAATATATTCTCTTGGATGCCTTCCCTGATAGAACATATATATCACTCGCAGAAGGTGAAGGCATCAGATGTGGAACAGGAGAACGAATTGATACAAGACCTGCAGGAGTTTTTTGGTTACCAGTTCGACTATGTCTTGCCTCGAATAGCGGAGTGCTTCAGTCAGCATAATTTATACATCACCAGTTCTCACCTCACGGGGCTACAGATCGTGCGCATTTTCGCCAACGAGTACTTTTCCCTCTTGGCCGACGTAAGATGGCGTATTTGAGCGGCGGAGCGGTTAAGCGGCAGCGTGTCAAATGGGCAACTTGGAGAGATGACACTCTGCACTATGTTGCTCCGCGCTATGCTGCTGTGTGATATGCTGCTCCGCGCCACGTCGTGTCTCTCTTCATTACACCGCTTTACATACCTCTTGGCACACCGCTTTTTGTGTTTCCTCCGCGCAGGACGTGAACATCGAGGGGAAGGACAAAACCACGTGGGTGCGCGAAGAAACGGAAGCCTTCCTGAACTCCCACTGCATTGAAATATTTAGCGGCTGCATGCTATCTCTGCACAAGTACCTAGGCGAAAAGGGGGTGAAGGTGGGTAAAATAAAAAGCATATTTGAAATGCTCTTGTCCTCCTGCTGGGTACTTGGAAGTGAGAAGAGAAACAAAATATGGGCATGTGCCCTTGTGCAGAGGTTAAGGCAAGTGCAACTTCTGACCCAAATTACCACCATAGAAAAGTGGTCCTACAGTATTAAAAAGTATAACGACTTAAATATTCAGAAATTTGTGAAAGACATATACAATTTTAATAACATCAATGGGAGTGTCTTATCTCCTTTCCAATTGCAAAACGTGAATATTTATCTTCCCCCCAAGGCGGGTCCCCTGAAGGAAATACCCTACTACACTACACTCGCCGACAGGTACAAGGACCGCTTCCCGGGACGAGAGAGTACTGGAGGCAGCAACAGCAGAAGCAACCGCATCGCCAGCAACGTCAACAATGGAAGCAGCAACAGAGGCTGCCAATTATATGAAGTCATAAATAACATCACCAGCACCATATATAAGCGCTTCAGGCCCAGGCGGCCCAGGAGCAGGGGATCCTCCGACGTTGCGCGCTTGGTCTACACGAACACGGATCACTGCCCTCCAGGTATGACTGCAGTGAAGAAGCGCGAAGACGCGGTTGCAAAGGAGTGAATGCACGTCGCGTGAACATGCCCCACGCACCCATTCACAATATGCACACACCACCTCGCTGACACCTTTTACAGACATGAGTTACCACGACCTGAAGGCCAGCCTTACATCGGATGAGTCCACCAAGTACGACGCTGCCCAGGACCTGGACCTCGAGGATGAAGAGGATTATACGTATGGGGTAGAGGAGGAGCCAATCATGGGGTACCCCGCGGGTGAAGGAACCCAAGCAAAGGGACAGAACAAGGGAAAGAACGGAATCCCTGTTAAGATAAAATACATTAAGGACGCAACGGACGATCGGAACTCCAAGTACGTCATAGAAATTCCCAAGCGAGACTTGGCCAACGGGGGTGGGAAGAACCACGTGAAGGCAGGTAAGGCGTTTGCATAGTGCGGGTAGACCCCGCCAGATCGCTAGGCCGTTATATGGTTAAGCGGTGCACATGAAACCACACCGCGCACCCTTTTTTCCCCCCCTTTTCAGTTCTCTGGGGAAATGGCCAAAAGGGCCTGGAAATCAAACTCCCCTCCGACAGTGACATGATGCCGCATGTGCGAATTAGATGAGACGGGGTAGTTTTGTAAGATGCCTCCACAAGAGAAGGATGGACAGATGTGCCATTATGTGTATGTGTATATGTGCTCCCATGTAGTGAAATAGGGCATGCGCGCTTTTTTTTTTTTTTTTTTTTTTTTTTTTCCTATGACATTTCTTTGTATGTGTACCGCTGTGTTTGTCCCTGTGGGAACGCAGCGGGGGGAGGGCGACACGTTCCAATTGATGGTTACGCAGCATGATGTTCCATTTTTTTTTCCCCTTTTCACAAACGCGAATAATTGGGTCGCTGCAGGAGGAGGATATTCCTGTGCCCTTCTGACAGGCGTGTTGCAAACGGGAAGGGAACAGCGAAGCGGAGGGGGGAAATAAATAAAAAAAAAAAAAAAAAAAAAAAAAAAGAGGATAAACAATATGAAGTAATTGGGGCAGAACAAAATGTAATACAACCAGAACAACTAAGCGGTGTTTCCTGTATATGCTTGTGTTTCTCGCCAATGTGATATCCTCTGTGGGGAGAGAACTGCAAAAAAAAGTCCCCTTCGGCCTTTTTCCCACTTCTGGGTCCCCCAATTAGCGAAACGAATATCACGGCGAGACGCCGCAGGGGCGACTCATCCATCCCTCACGCCTGCGTCCTTTTCTGTGTCATTTAAAAGGATAAAATGTGAACAAAAATAATGACGAACAAATCGTAGGTGGTATTAAAAAATACAATAAAGTAAAATAAGCAAATTAAATTTGCAAAATCTCATAAGGAGTAGTAAAACAGAAAAAAAAAAAAAAAAAATATATTTTAACATTAACGAAAAAAGGGGCGGCGCACGTACAGGTGCGTGAAAAAACGAAGCATGTACACCGTACTCGCTAGCCCCGCAACAAAAGAACAGTAGAATGCGTAAGGATTAAGGGTTATGAGGCACGCGTACTAGGGGTGCTGCATAGGCGGCGAGGCTGTATATCGTGCCCGTATATTTGCGCAATACACATAAAAAATAGGGGCGCTTGAAGCTACCCGCTGCGTTGGCTACTCCGCTACCATAAAAGCCAGCACAAAGGTACAAGCGTTTAATACACGTACAGGAATATTTTTTTATTCTTCACCTTTTTTATTGGCCCGCAAAAAACAGGCAAAAACGAAACAAAAACAAAAAAAAAAAAAAAAACTGTTCAGTTATGATGTTTTATGTAACGTGCTTGTTTGTTTTTATTACTCCTATGTGATTTTTTTTTCAGTGCGTACGTTACTCATTCATCCATGTTTATATTATATATAGCAGAGGCAGTGGCCCCTCATGACATTGCCGTGGTGAAAGCAAAAAGGAGAAAGAGCAAATTTTTTATATACTCTCTTTACCAATTTTAAATGTACTGGTGTTTGAACGGCCTTGAAATGTACCCCCATTGCATGGCTGTGAAGTGGAGTGTATTGTTTTATATACGCATAAATAATAATACACGTCGCCTCGTTAAGGAACGGGAAGAGGAGAGTAAAATTTAGGTTTGCGAGTGAAGCACGCCACACCAAGTGTTGCTCTTCAATAGAAGCGCTGTGGTTTTTATACACAGCCAGCCGCGAGTGGTTAGTAGCTACTTGAAAAGGAAAGGAGCACACGCAGAAGCATAAACACAGAACACACTGACGGTACACAAACGGTACAAAAAGGATAACATACCGCGTTGTATATATATATATATATATATATATATATATATACATACACAGCGCCACACCCGTAACGCCGCCCTCGAGTAAAAGGAAAAAACTGCACAATGGATAAGCTCATGGACAGCAGCAAAGCGAAGCTGACGATGGTGTTGGTGGGGGGTCTGTGCTCCCTGGCGTTGTATCACATAAAGAAGAAGATGAAGTGGTCTTATTGTTTATTTACAAAAAGCTGGTTTAGCGAGTTCTCGCTCATGTGGCCTGGCCAGGCCTTCAGTCTGGAGATAAAGAAAATCGTCCACCAGGCCAAGTCGAAGTATCAAGTAGGTCCTTGTGCGCGGCGCGGTCCCCTCTGCTGTCGCACATGCGTTTTTGGCGTCATTTTTGCCCATTTTTGCGTGCCATTTTTTGCCCATTTTTGCGTGCCATTTTTTGCCCATTTTTGCGTGCCATTTTTTTGCCCCATTTATGCGTGCCATTTTTTTGCCCCATTTATGCGTGCCATTTTTTTGCCCCATTTATGCGTGCCATTTTTTTGCCCCCTTTTTTGTGCCCCCCGCAGAGCATCCTGGTGTTCGAGAGTAGCACGTTCGGCAACGTGCTGGTGCTGGACGGAGTCATACAGCTAACAGAGAAGGACGAGTTCGCCTACCACGAAATGATGACGCACGTCCCCATGACCGTTGCCAAGGAGCCAAAGAATGTCCTCGTGGTCGGAGGAGGAGACGGAGGAGTGATAAGAGAATTGTGTAAATATAAGTCCATAGAAAATATCGACATATGCGAAATTGACGAAATGGTTATAGAGGTGTCGAAAACGTTTTTTAAAAACATCAGTTGTGGATTTGAGGACAAGAGGGTTAATGTGTTTATTGAAGACGCGAGTAAATTTTTAGAAAATGTGACCAACACGTATGACGTTATTATTGTGGACAGTTCGGACCCCATCGGCCCAGCCGAGTCTTTGTTTAACCAAAACTTTTACGAAAAGGTCTACAATGCGCTCAAGCCTAATGGATACTGCGTCTCGCAGGTGAGGCAAAGTTGTGCGCAGTTGTGCGAATTTGCCGCGTGTGCGTGCGGCGCGGCGCGGCGATTCTTTTCCATTGCTGCTCTTATATAATATCATTTATCATTTATTGCGTGCCCTCCCCCCCTCGAACACCGCAGTGCGAGTCCATTTGGATCCACGTAGGAACGATAAAGAGCATGATGGGATATGCAAAAAAGTTGTTCAAAAAGGTCGAGTATGCTAACATCAGCATCCCGACGTACCCCTGTGGCTGTATAGGTACGTTCAGCGCGCAGAGCAGCCAACCGCGTGGCAGTTGAGTGGTTATATGTGTGCTGTATTATTTTTGCCTCGCCACATTTTCCCCCATTACCGCTTCATCCCATTTTCATCGCTTCCCCCCATAGGCATCCTGTGCTGCTCCAAAACGGACACCGGCTTGTCCAAGCCGAATAAGCGTTTAGAGTCGAAGGAGTTTGCAGACCTCAAGTACTACAGTTACGAGAACCACTCAGCCGCCTTCAAATTGCCTTCCTTTGTTTTGAAGGATATCGAATCTGCCTAGCGCACCGCCTTTGTTTTATTGGGGGCATCCCCAACGCGTAGGTCTTGTATAATATGCGTGTCAAGGGACGCCCATACACACGCACACCCTTGACGTCATTTTTAAAATATACGCAAAATAGACCAGAATATTTTTTTTTGGAAAAAATAAAAATAAAAATTATGTTTTTAATTTTTTTTTTTTTTCCCATCATCGAGTACTTTCATTTTGTACATGCCGATGTTGCTTTTTTTTTTTTTTTTTTTTTTTTTTTCCCTCCTTAACTTGGTTTCATTTGTGTTTTTAGCGGCAGTTGCGTACTATTTGTTGTCACTGTTTTTTCACATACCTCGTTTGCATGCGTGGGTCATAAAAAAAAAAAAAAAGGACATCTTGGCGCAGCTGCTCCTTTTCACACTATGCATGAAAATCAGCGTTGCATCATTCACAATAGGGTATGCACGCACGTATGTAGGTACGTTCGTGTGTACGTTATAAGCATGTGCTTATGAGTGTGTATGCACGGTGTTAGAAAATGGAAAAAAAAGGCGTCCCACTTTTCTGGTCCACCCATATGTTTCCTTCCTTCCAAACTTTCAAAATGCTATTTATAAAACAAACCCAACTTTTATTTAATTTTAAGTGAAAAACAGTTTTTAAAAAATTGCAAACTTGGCATTTTTTTTTTTTTTTTTTTTTTTTTAACAGCATACAGGGGGGACAAGCTGCCTCTTTGAAGCAGTGGTTAATTTACGCGCATCAGTTGGTTGGCCGTGATGTACACAGAATTTTTTTTTTTCTCTCTTTCTTTCCAATGTGCCTATCGCGTATTGGCATTGCGTGTATGCGAACATATACACGTTGCATTTGCCCATGTGGAGCTCGCGCGGACGGAAAATGTGCAAAGTGAACGAAATGAACAAACCCAGCAAAGTGCCAAACTGTGACGTGCGAGGGGGAAAAACAAAAAAGAAAAAAGAAAAAAAAGCGTGATTTTTTTTTCCAACTTGTACTCAAAAACATTTGACCGCTTTGTGGATGCGCCGGAGATTCCTCATACTGTGACACGACGACCATAATAGTTATGTACGCATGCGTACTCCACACATGGGGGTTACACGTGTACGTCTGTTATACAATATGCGTACGCGCATATATGTGCAGGCCGAGTGATCGCGCCCCCTTGCCGGGGACCCCCCGCCCGTCCCTTTTCTTAGCTCATTGGTGGGTGTAGAGCCTTAGCAAAAAAAAAAAAAAAAAAAAAAAAAAAAAAAAAAAAAGGCGCAAGATCCGGCGTATGCAGCATTGGCGAGGTTTAACATGCGCACATGCATATGAGCAGAAAAGTACACTGCGTATTTACGGGGGGTGGTTTAATACGTACTCCTGTACCCCTTTGCGGCCGGCGGCCTCGAACAGAGAGTCGTTTTTTGTTTTTTTTTTTTTCCACATCGTTAAGAGTGCAGCGCGCAGGGTGTATGCGGTTTGCCACATGAGAGCGAACACGACGTGGCAAAAAAAAAGCCTACTTAGTGGCCCAACATCGCCAACCCTAAATTATATTACATGAATATGAATATAAATATGTGATGGTGCGCACGGAACACGCCCACTTGCCGCCCATGTAAACATGCATGTGAAAACACATACAATATAAAAAAGTATATGTGCATGACAAGAATTTTATGTACGCGTAAAAATAATTGCTTACGTATTTATGCGCACATGTACAATGCGTATGTTAGCACGCGTATGTAACCTTTGTGGTACCCTTCGTATAATATTAAACGGCCCCGGAAGTGCGAGTACACGCAGGGGCTGGCGCTGAGAAATATATATATGCTCAAAACGGAAGAGGCATTTTTTTTTTTGTTGCTGCATTTAACCCCCCGACATCATCCCCATCAGGGGCGCCAGCGGAATGTTATAAAAAAAAAAAAAAAGAAAGAAACAGAAGGGGCCGCGCGACACGCCTACTTTAAACTTATATATAAACGCTCGTTCTTTTCTTCCGTTGTGGTCATTCCGGTCGTTGAAAAAAATATATATGAAAAAAGAGGCGCGGGGCACAAATATAAATATATACAGCACAGTACACCACGCAAACAAGCCCATGCAAACGGCAAATCAACGGTACGCATATTTTGTTTTGTTTTTTTTTGTTGCGTCCGCCCATTTTTATACATATCTGTATAAATACCAAATATGTTGATTAGAGGATAGGTCCTTTTTAAAATCATCGTGGCAAAATTAATTTTTTATTCCTTTTTTTTTTTTTTTTCGGCTACAAAAAAACATTGAAATCTGAATAAAAAAAACGAATTATAAAAACAAAAGAAGAAAGCAAAGCAAAAAAGAAAAGAAATAAAATAGCAAGCGTTCTCAAAATAATTAACAAAAAACATATAAAACACGCAAAGCGGTCAAGCGCTCATCCGTAGCAAATCGACACGTATAAAAAAACACGCCGTACAAGGGAAAAAAAAAAAAAAAGAAAAAAACCCTGCCCACAAAGAGGGGAGAGTTTGTGTTCATTTTTTTTTTTTTTTACCGCTCAATTTAACTGTTACGATTTGATTTAACGTGGCAAATTGAATTGCTTAAGGTATCCTCCGTCCGTACCCACGCCTTCCGAGCACGTACATGTAGTAATATATATATATAATACATTGCGTACATATATATATATATTTGTATGTAGGGTTATATAAAAAGTGTATAAATATACACGCACATATATATTTACATATTTACGTATATATCCTGCCAGTGGATATTTATTCCGATTGACCCTCCTGCGAAGGGAAAACATATAAAAGAAGCCCAAGTGGTTAAAATCGCTGCTAATTCCTCCGTGCCTGCCAAAATGATGACAAAGGTTGCGCTGTCGGCCCTCCTGGTCCTCCTACCCGTGTACTGCCTAAACGTAGAAAAACAAAACCAGGAGCCAGAAGAAATAAACAACATTACTGCAAAATTACAAGTACAGAACAGTGAGCATGAAAAGTTCCTCAACATGATCAACGAAATTTTTTCCAACACTGATGAAGGATGTAAGTTATCCTTCTCCAACAGTGGATTTAGGTGTGCCCTTAACAAATTCGATGTCACTTTCAATAACGAGTCTAAAGGAATTAATGCTTTATTTACTTCCGAGCATGAACAAATTATAAAAGAAGCTGCTGAGGATTACAAAGTTCGTTTGATGCTGGAGTTGCAGAACCTGAGCCCACCAAATACAAGTCTACAGAATTTTAAGAAAGAATACCAAGGCATATGTATGAAATTCTTTTCTTCATTGAGAAGGCAATTTTTCCACCTGTACAGAAGTGATGGTCCTGGTCAAGATGGTGCAGACCAGAGCCATGGGGACATTACCAATGCAGACCAACTGACAGAAAAACTTGAGTCCACCTACGATTCTGCTTCAACTGAAGATGGCTCCAGTGCAGGAAAAGTTGCAAACCAAGATTTATCCGAGCTGATGGATGAAGATGATGAGCACAACCCAGATGCTCCCACCGTACACCAAAGCAGCTACTCCTACTCTTCACACACTTCTAAAAAAATTATGTTCGATGGAAATAATGTGATTGAAGAAAATGAGACTTCCGTAAATGATGGAAGTGATGATCAAACTGATGATCTCCAACAAGGACCAATGACCAAAGAAAAAGCTCTCTCCATTTTTTTAAAAAATACTTCCTTTACCATTGAAGGACATTGCACTGAGGAAGAACAAAAGGAAAATCCATTTAGCGTTTTCTTTAACAGCCAATTGAGTAGAAACCACTTCAGCACTGCATGCAATGCAAATGGAAAAAATTTTCTAAGAAAGGCTGGTGGAAATAGCCCTCTTCCCATGGAACCCCTAAACCCAGAGGATTTAAATAAAATGATGGCCGACATGCTAAAATTTTTTGAAAGCCAAAATGACGGAAATGGAATGATGCTGCCCTTTTTGAACAACATGAACTTTAATGACGTCCTTGAAAATTTGGGACTTCCACATGGTCTAGACTTCGAAGGTATGTTCAATGACATCCTCCAGGGAACAGGAGTCACCCCAAGCTGCAGGGGTGCGCGACCAACCCTGAACCAACCACCCACCAAGCAAGACCCCCCAACCACGGACGAATCGAATGACCAGCAGTGAGCTAATTCGCAGCAGCTACACTAAATACGGAAAGGGACAAAATGGGTCACAAGTGCAAGTACAGCATGTGTGAGACGTGCAAAACGGGTGAGACGTGCCAAACGGGTGAGAAGTGCCAAACGGGTGAGAAGTGCCAAACGGGTGAGAAGTGCCAAACGGGTGAGAAGTGCCAAACGGATCAGAACAACGCACAGCTGTGAACTGAACCCCACACGTGCATACATGTATACTGTACGCACAAGAGAGGCGGTCATCTCCGAGCAGGAGGACCCCGTCCAAATGGATCAACCGAATGAAGAAAAAAGACCATTTGTTAATATGTAATTTTTTATATATTATTCCTACACCCCCCTTCACGTGCATAACAATATGGAGATTTGTACGGGGGTTATTTACGCATGCGTATATGTATATATATATATATATATATATATATATGTGTGTATATATTTTTATGAATTACATTTTTTCATTTTGGAAGCTGTGGTGTGCTTGTAGTGCGTATGTTGCAATGATGTGTATACAAATGGATGTGTGTTTGGAGAAGCCAGTAAGGGTTATCCACCCTCTCTTTTCTTCCCTGCGCACAACGTGCATGTGCTAGTTTGTATAATATAGAAATGTGCAAGCGCCGCTTTAACCACATGTGTCCAAAAAAAAAAAAAAAAAAAAAAAAAAAAAAAAAAAGGTGAAAATAAATTGACCCTTTTTTCATTTAAAATTACGTGCTTGTTGCCATTTCGCAATATGGTAAAAAAAAAAAAAAAAAAAAAAAAAAGAAATGAAATGAAATGAAAAGAAAATTCGGCCAAGCTGATCAATAGTGCATACATGAAAAAAAAAAAAAAAAAAAAAAAAAACAGGTCATATCAGCTGAGATATGGACGTCCAACAAAAATGAACAGTTTTAAGACAAAGAAAACATCCGCTCATTGTATCATTTTTACTTTTGTTACATATATGCATATCATTTTATGTGCACGTGTGTATATATATATATATAACTGCTTTGATAGAAAAAAAAAAAATGATCCTTGTGTAAATACAACATTTTATACATGTGCACACCTTTATACATATTTTTATACCGCTGCAACATTTACCTGTTCACCAAGGCGCAATTTTTTTTTTTTTTTTTTTTAATTGATAAAAAATTTAATAAATTTGTAAAAAAAAAAAAAAGTAAAAAAAACTTTACACGCACACATTTTGGCATCAATGCACACGTGGATATAGCGGTATATTGGCTGTACAAGTGGCCCATCCCACCTCCCCCTCACACACACCCCACTCGGATAATCACACAAAAAGGGGGGTAAGTGTGTCCCCTTAGCTGTAATAGCCGCCCACATGACTTTCTCATTGATATGTTAAGGTTTTCCCACGTTCTCTTCTTCCCCATTTTGTGAGGGGAATCGCCACCCCGCTTAAACAATACAGAACAGGCGAGTAAAAAATGAACATGTGTTAACAAAATGGTATGTAAATGTTGCTACTCCACAGGTGGATAACCAGCGGAACAACCGCCATGCGTCACATAAGTTACGTGTATAATGGCAGATTGTGGTTCTGTACCCCCTGCGAATTTTTACATCCATTGGCGCATTATGTCGTTGCTGATGATGTGGGGTCCTTCCATGTGCAAAAATAAAGAGGAGTCAGGTACGTAACAACAGGGTGTTCTTTTCAGGGATGCTTTCCCCGTAGGGACACACAAAGCAATCACGTTGGTGAAGGTCAACATTTTCGTTATCTGCACAGGGGCGTACCTCCCCTGGATAGCTCGCACCACCAAGGGTGTGTAAAACGGGAAAGAAAAAAAAAGGGTCACCACAACAAATGTTCACCCAATGGAGGAGCTGATTGCCCACCGCAGAAAATATGTGTACCTTTCTAGGTTACCAAAAAAAAATGACTCCTCAGGAATTATCTTTTTTTTTTTTTTTTTTTGAAGGCAATAATTTTTTTTACATACATATTATTATGCCTACTGTGTGCCTATTTTTTTTTTTTTTTTTCCCCCTCCCGGGACCATTTAATAAGGCATAAATAGGGAATAAGCTCCGCAAAGTAGGTGCCAATGTGGGGGTTTATCATCCCTGGGAAGAGAAGAGTCTAGTTGTCGCCCCGTCGGCTTCGCCCTCTGCGCAATTTCACACGCTCATCGTCCTTGTTAACATTTCTTTTCGCTGCTCACACCAAATTCCGTGCATGCGACAAAATTGCCTTTCAAAAAATTACAAAATTGAAAAGTTGCAAAATTGAAATGTTCACGAATTTTAAAAACACCAAGTGGCCAAAAGTTTCACCCAGCTGACATGAGAGAAACGCGGAAGAGGAAGGATATGATGACCTCCCCTTCCATTATCTTCCAGGCCAAAGTCAATGCTTAAATGTGCCCTCTTTGCCTCTCCCACCACAAAAGCGCCCCTTAATGTTACCAAAGAGGCACAATTCTCAATTTCTTTTATGACTAAAGAGAAAAACAGAAAAGAACGAGCTGCACAAAATGGAAGTGAACAAGGAAGATATCTGCGAGCTGAACAAAAACAGCTACCCCAATTTTTACCTGGCGGACTTATTTTACATTTTACAGTTAACACATATATCACCAAATGAGAAGAGCGAAACGTGGAAGAAGCTACAAGATGAAATAAACAAAAATAATATGTATCCATATTATAATTATGTATGTGAAGAATTGAACATTCCTGTAGACCAGGACCTTTACAATTCTTTAAAAAAAAATGCAGACGAAGAAATTAACGAAATAGAAAAGAAAATCCAAGAGGCCTCCGAGAATTTTGACTCTGTTGACACCAAAAATGATGTTTTACTCAAGGCAAATTTTTTTTGCAAAATTGGAGACAAGGTTAGCAGACTTAGTTCAGAGGAATCTTCTCCTCTTCCCCCTGTGAGGGGAAAGACCGCTTAGGGTTCACAATTCGTGTGTGAAACCAACTAAAATGTTGGCTGACAAACGTGGGTGTCATATGTGCCTGTTATTCTGTATCCCCGCGTTTGCCATCCCCCGTTTGATGCGTCCACCCGTTGCGGTGCGCGTGAATCACCCAACACACACCAACCGCCCCGCCAACCCGTTCAACCCGCAGGAAAATGCACTGAAGGAATACGAAGAAGCCTACAAAAAAGACATAGGCATTGGCGTCAAACTGGATATCCTCCTCACGATAATACGAATAAGCATCTTCTTTAACGACTTGAAAAATACCAAAAAGTATTTAGAGCAGGCAAGAACGCAGATGGAGAAAGGAGGAGACTGGGAAAGAAAAAACAAACTCAAAATTTATGAAGCTTTGAACTACATTATGATTAGGAACTTTCCAGAAGCCTCCAAAATTTTGATCGATGCTGCTTCAACATTTACAGCAACGGAAATTATTTCATATGACGAAGTTATATTTTATGTTGTCATTCTGGGAATTGTAAGATGATGCAACGTTGGTGTTGGCGAAATGGCAGTTTAGTTCCGCCTCATGTGTGAAGTGAATGTGTGTATGGTGTGCGCTGTCCAAATATAAATTGTACAAAAAAAAAGTTCCCCCCTTATTTTCCTTTTTTTTTTTTTTTTTTTTTTTTTTACCTGACCCGTACATGCAGATGACAGAAGAAAGAACCGTATTGGACAAAAAAATTCTGAACAGCTCAGTAATTTTGCAGGTCACGAGCAGTGATGACGATTTGCAGAGTTATATATCCTCCTTTTACCACTGCGAATATCGAACGTTTATGGAAAAGACAATAAAAATAGCCATGCGAGTGAAGAGGGACAAATACTTGGGAAGGCATTACCGATATTTTATTCGAAACACCAGGGTGAGAGCTTACAGGCAATTCCTGGAGCCCTTCAAAAGCGTTACGCTTAAAAACATGGCGTACGCCTTTGGGGTTAGTGAGGAATTTATTGAGAACGAAATTTCGTCCTTTATCGCGAATGGGAAGTTGAATTGCAAAATTGACAAGGTGAATGGTTCGATAGAGAGCAACCAGCCCAACGAGAGGAACACGCTGTATTTGAACACGATTAAAAAGGTAAGTTGCGCGGGTGCGCGAGCGGGAGCGGCAGCGTGCGCTTGATTGTGTGACGGTGTCTTACCTCAGATTTGTCCGGGGAGGAGGCGCATATTTCTGCACCTGTATGTCGACACATCGGTTGACCCATTTTTTTCCTCCCTTATGCCATTTACACCTTTTCCACTTTACAGGGGGACATTCTACTAAACAGGATACAGAAGTTGTCCAGGGTTATTGACATGTGACCGGGGACCTCCACATGTTGGCATTTGTGTTGTCCTTTTTGTGTCGGCCCTCCTTTTTGCGTGAGCCGATTTCCCCACAGGGAGATCACGGCTGCTGTTATGATGGGTTATCTGTTCCCTACCGCTGCGCCGCTATCACCTTACAACAATTTTGTGGCCATTTTAATTTTTTTTTTTTTTTCATAACGGTGGTTCGTTTCCCTTTTTTTTTTTTTTTTTTAAGATAATTCTTATCTGCACAGTGCAGAGTTTTATTTAAGCACACTTTGTTGCCGTCTTCCACGGTTTAACGTCGATCATTGCCCAATCCCCAGCAAGAACGACTTCATTTTGAATCTCCAAGAGGAAAAAAAAAAATACGGTTAACTTTAGCGGAAATGTGCAAAATGGCTAGCTGGCAAGGTAAAAAAAAAAAAAAAAAAAAAAAAAAATACTATTAAATACGGTTAATTGCGGTCAAATGAACAAAAATAGCTAGCTGATAAGCAAACAAAAAGCAGCGGCACACCACAGTGCAAATGTACCATGTGGACAATTGCCAAAGCAACACAAAAGGCAAATCGTTTAAGGGGCGCATAAACGGAAGGGGCAGATAAGCCGAGCCATGCACAGCAACTGTGCTAAGCAATCTTCCCAATTTAACGACTTCGTTGTGGGAGAGGCGAGACACACAAGCTTCGGTGCACACGAATTCACGCACGACCCAATTTATACGTCACTCCAGAAATGTACTGCAAGTAGGCCGTCTTCAACAAATAAATGTCTCTGTAGAGACTGACATGCAATTTGTGTATGTTAGTTGTGCTGAAGGGGTGCAATCGGAGGGGCTTAAAAATAATTTGCAAAATTTTATTTTCCCCATCAGTATTAAAGATAGACGAATGACAGTCCTCCTTGAAAATATATAAAAAAGCTTTAACATGATGTAAGGAATATTTTGATGTGAGTGTGTGTGTAAGTTTATATAGCTTCAAACTCATTTGATAATTGACCAGTGTGTCTTTCTCTCCATGGATAAAATAAATTTGCAAGTTTGCAAAAATGCTACTTAAATGTTTTGTTCCCTTTAAGTCGTATAGTATTTTAAAAAATTCTTTGAGCACGGAGATGTTGTCCCAGTGGACATAGGGGCATTTTTTATTCATGACAAACCAGCTAAGTAAAAACAGCACACTATTTCTTAAAATGTTTTTCACCAATTTCTGTGTGTTGGTAAATGGTGCAACTAGGATGACTCTATCTACAGTTATGTTTAATTCGCTACTTAATTTTTTTTCCATCTCCTTCCTTCGTTGCTTTACACTTTGCAGACTTTCATGTACGCTGACCTTTTTGGGGAAATTTTTGCACCCTTCATTTTTGTGAATCCCGAGTTTCACTTCATTCCTTTGTTGATAGTTGTCACCGCTGCCACAGTAGTGATTACTTCTCCGTTCGTATAAGTCTGCGAAGGAATTTGTTTTACAAGGGGCATGTTTTCTAACCTTTTGGTCTGTCAGATGGTCGTCTTTGTCTTCTTCCCCTTGGGTACTTGACTGCGGATCAGTGGTTGAGGAAGAAGGTCTACTCAAAAAGACATCCCCAAAGGTTAATATTTTCCGTGCGTCATACACGTACTCATTAACTTTGTGGTTCCTCGTACTGTTTAGCTTGATGGACAAATCGTTTTCCTCGTTTGGGGGTTCCCTAATGGGTTCCCTTTCTTTTCGGTGAAATGGCCTTTTGCTCTCCCCTTGGAAGAAGTCGTTGTAGAGGCTCTTGGCAATGTCGAGCAGAAGCTGAAGGCCGACGCAACACCCGAGAGAATAGCCCAAGATGTTTATGGATACGCCAGCGGCGCTAGTGTTGCTAGTATCGCCAACATTGCTGACGCCGCTTTCTTCTTCTTCCCTTTCCCCTTTATTCCCCCTTTCCCCACTAGGGTGATCCCCCCTGCGCAACTCCTTCAAGGCCTCCTTCAGCGCCGCCATGGCACTTGTCTTGAACGTCAGGGGTGAGGGATGACCCGTGCTGTTGTTATACGCTGGGTAGTCCAGCAGCAAAAAGGCATACCTAACTGGGTTTTTTTTTTTCTTCGTCTGCTTGTAGATTAGCGGCCCGTATATATCTGTGTAATTCAGCTTGCCTGCTTTTACTTCCCCCCCGCTTTTTTCAAATGAAGGGTTCCTTCCCTGCATGTGGTAGGAAATGAAGTCGAACAGCTCGTCCGCTTCGCTGTCGCTTCGTTCTATGAAGAAGTCGTACGCATCGTCCTGGTTGTCGTCCCGGTTGTCCTCCTCGTTATCGTCCCCGTTGTCGTCCATTTTGTCGCCCGCTCCCTGAACATTGTTCCCATGATGGCCGCCCCCCCACTGCCCGTCCCCCCCTTCTTCGCTGTCCTCCTCGCCACCCCGCACCCTTTCCCTGTAGTAGTTCAAAAAATGGGTATAGTTGTCAGGCCCAAACGCATCACACTTCTTTTCATACTCATTGTAGTACGCCACAATGCGGTCATATATTTCGGTAACGTTTTTGTATAAATTTTTGTGGAAGAAGATATTTGAGGGTAATTGAGGCAATTTGTTCTTTTCCTTTCCTGTCTTGGTAGGGCGTCCACTGTGTAGTTCGTTTCGCTCGTTGACATGAGTGTGATTTGCTACATTGGGGAAGAAGTCATTTGCTGAGTCAAGTTCCTGTTCAGGTGGAATGTCCTTCTTTGGTGTTCCTTTCTGTTGTTCTCCCCGGTTTGGACAGGCCGCTTCTTCCCTTTCCTTCTTCTTGCTGCACTTGGTGTGCAAATTTTTTTTTATTTTCCTCCTTTCTAGCTTAGCCAAATATGTGACATATTCAGACGGAGGTATCTCTGTGGCGTACCGGAGAATTTTGTAAACGGTGTTTAGTGAGTCGATGGACTTCATATCTTTCCCTCCAAAAATGACCCATAAAAATATGGGCACTTGTGTGGACCCCTTTCTCCCCTCTGTGTATTCCTTTACCTTTTCCAAATTTTTTTTTTTCACGTCACTGAAAACGGAGTCGTACAGCTTGCAGTTCATAAGGTTGCGTATTTTAAAATTGTTGACGTCTGCGAAGGTGGCCCTTTTGCTGCCCCCTTCGTTTGGCGAGCTGAGCGGCGAGCGAAGCGATGAGGTAAGCGGTGAGGTAAGAGGCGAGGTAAGCGGCGGGACGGTTTTCCCGCTTCGCTGGGCACGCAGCAGCCCCCTCCGCACCTTAGCCTCCCTGAAATACCTGACCACCCCGTTCAAATAATTGTAGTAATACTGGAAGAGGAAAAATATATTTTTACATGTGTACGGAAAGACGGGTTCTATGTTGCTGTTCACATGAGTCATATAGACGCATGAACAGTCGAACAGGGAGTTGCTGGGCGGGGTGACATTCCTCTGTCCTGAGTGAGACTTGTCCGTCCTAGTGTCGTCCCTCACAGTGGTGCCCCTTTCCAGTGAATCCATCTTAATTAAATTTTTCATGTGACGCGCCTTGACTTGGGTGTCGTGTCTGTCGCCCGGCTTCTCACCACTCCTCCCTACCACCCGTCCTGTTGGGCTCTTCCCCCAAACGGGCAGCGTGTTTGCCTTTTTCACCTTCTCAGCGGTAATGTCGTTGGAAAGAGTGATGCTTCCCCGTGTGGTTTGTCCGCACAAGGGAGAGTCGATTCCTCGTTTGGTCAGATCAACTGGGACAGAAGGAACACTTTTTAAAGAGGCCACGTAACTTTTCTTGGCGCACCTGAAGGAGCACTTATCCACGAAGTACCTGTTTCTCCGCATGTTTATAAAGTAGTTGGCTGGCCGACCGCTTATCGCGCTTCCGCCCACACCATTTACTGCTCCCGTTGACGTCCCTCGCTGCGTCCCCTTATGGCCCTTCCCTTTCTCCTCCTTTTTGAAAAAGACCCAGGAGCCATTATTTATGAGCACGTGGTCGCTTGTGGCCTTCTGAATGCGGAGCGCGTTTTCCGTGTCGTGCACATCCACAGGTGGAATCAAATAGGCGTTATAAATGTAGGGGTAGGTAAAAGACTCTGTGTTCTGGTCAACCACAACAATGTCTTTTATGGGTTGAACTAACAGCTCGAAGTTAAGCCTCATCAGCATGTAGTTGTATAGGCTTTCCCTATTTTTGCTTCCACCACTGCTTGTATAGAAAAAAAGCTCATACCATGTATTTTTGAATTTTAAAAAATGAACATCTTCCTTTTCTGTGCTTGCTCTTAACACGTGCAAATTATTCATCGCCTTATATTTGTGGTTTTCCAAATCACTCAAGGGAATGGGTTCTGTGGGTAGACTCAAGATGGGTCTCTCCTTAATTTTGGCGCTGTTGCAGTTGGACAGCACATGCTTGGTCCTCTCCTCACGGGGGCATACTTTAAGGTTTTCCACGTACACATTGTAACCTTCTCGAAAGAGCTTCACCAGTTTGTTTTTTTGGAAGCGAATGCTTCTGTTCGCTGTGTTCGCTGTCTTCGTGGGTGAGCGGTCAGTTGGGGGGTCACCTGCACCGTCAGCGGTGAGCACAGTAGACAGCCCAGTTGGCCCTTTTCCTAATCCATCGCGTGGCCACCTTGTGGGGGTGCCCACTTCTCTCTTAAGAGCTCGGCCCGACCCACGACTCCCTGCACGCCCGAACGCATTTTTCCGTGGAAGCTCGCGAAGCCATTTGGACCTGCTCCTCAAGTAGTTATTATAAATATGATTAAGGCTGAATTTGTGTTTTATTTCACCATGTGAAACAGTGTTTCTATCGTCCCTGTTGGGTACTTCATCTGACACACCGGTTAGCTCATCACTGGATTGCTTCTTCAATTTTACCGAAGAGATTCTTTTCCCATTCATTAATGTTACACATGTTTCCTTGTTTTCTTTTGTCGAAGGAGGTCTCTTTGTTCTAGCATCATCTGTGAGTCCTCCGCTGACGCTTCTTCCCTTGTGTAGGGGTGACAACTGTTCTGCTCCTTTCTCATGTTGTTTACTCCCCTGGGTGGGTTGCCCATAAAAAAGGCTTTCACAAAAAATATTTTTTTGCTTTTCCGCAGGTGGGCCATCACGGAGTATATCTTCCCTAAGGTGATGCCTTCCATTGGCTGACCCTCCCCTGTCGTTTGTATCCCCAAACGGTGTGCTGCCCTCATCAAATGGTTCGATCGGATCGTCTCCCTCCACCTCGACCTCCGAACATGTCGACGTGCAGAATTTATCCGGCCGGGCAGTCCCTTTTACATTTGCATAGTTTGAAGAATTAATTTTATGCCTCCCTTTTTTAAACAAACCACTGAGGTGCGTACATTTAACTCGATCAGACAGTCGCGTCGTTTGTTCGTCCTTCAGTGATTGTTCGCCTGTACACCCGCGCGAGGAAAGATTTGCAGACTTGTCTAGTTCATCGTGTGGAAAATAATTTCCTCCTTCGGGTAGGAAGAACTGTCTCATCACTGTTTTTGTTTCTCTCTCACCACGTGCATCCTTTTTTTTCGGCCTTTCATTGAAACTCTTTGTGTGAATTTCGCTCATTTGGGGACTCCCCATCGTTTCGTTTCTATATCGTCGAGGTGTGTGTGTGTGTGTGTGCGTGCGTGCGTGCGTGTTTGTATATGTGGAGGAGCTGCACACGACACGCAAGGGACTGTCCACTCGATTAGCACATGAGTGCCTCCCTATTTTTAATTTCCTTTATATTTGGTTAAGTCCCTCTACGATGAATTATTTTTCCTGTTTTGGAAAGAACTTTTCCATTTTTTTTTTTTTTTTTTTTTTTTTTTTTTTTTTTTCCCTGAACAGTTCAGGTTAATATTGATCTATTTCATCTCCCCATCAGTAAGGGAAAAAAAAAAAAAATTCTTTTGCAACACTTAGTGGAGAAAATATATATAGCAAGTGGCGCTCGCTTGGGGTTAAATCAAAGTTCCACTCAGGACAAATGAATTGTCATTTTGTGTGTTAGTCGAGCTTTGAACAAACTAGAATAATTCACACACAGTGGCACACCTTTTACAGGGTAGCTAACCCATTTTTGCTCCGTAGCATAGTATGCTTCTTTTGCGCGTTTTCCACGTCTGATTGTAGTCCAGGCGGCTGCACCTCCTTCGCATAATTGCGTTCTCCCCGCAGGGCGACGTGTGTCCACCTTTGATCAGGAAAAATAGAGCGAAAAAAAAATGCATATTCTTTTCGTCCCTTTTTACTTCTTCCCCCAACTGGCGGTTGGACAATTCCCCCAAGGCAACCAGACCAAAAAAGCTCATCCTTTGGGGTGAAGTTCCTCAAGCAGGGAGTGAGTACATCTCCTCTCCCATGGGGTGTGTCTGGGAAGAAACTGCCCCACTTGGCCCGTCCAACTCACCGTATAGCCAAATACAAGGCGAGCTTATTATGACCGCCAAAAGACAGTTGTCATTTTGTGACTCCAGTTTGGACATTTTTGCCATGTGGCGTTTTCCACCCGGATGGGTAAGCTATTCCCCTGTGGAGGATGCAGCCTATTCGTCTGATGAGGGGGGGAACAAAAAAAAGAGGTGCCCGTTTATAGCAATTCAGAAAGTTTTTTTTTTTTTTTTTTTTTTTTTTTCCCTTGACAGGGAGAGTCTATCCCCCTGCAGTTGGGGTAACAAAGTGGAACATGAAAATGGTTCATGCGTAAAAATGGGGGAAAAGTATTTCAACTTGAAAAAATATAAAAAATAAAATAAGTACAAATGGACAAAACCAAAGGGGTCTTCCCCACTCCCGGTATGCACAAAAAGGATGGGTCTCGTTCGGGGACCCAAATGGCCTCCCCTTGGAGTTTTTCCCGTCCTTCAGAAGAGAGTAAATCGGTCCACCTGAAAAAAAAAAAAAAGGCAAGCCGCGGAGGGATTATCCGTGTTTACCTCCCCTTGTGCACTTTTTTTTTTTTTTTTCCAAACTTGGCATTTTTTCTGGCGAACTGGGTTTTGCCCTTGGCAAAGGTGACCCCTTTTTTCACCGCTTTGTCATTTCGCATGGCGGACGGAGCGCCTGTCTTTTCCTTTTGCTTCTTCTTTTTCTTTCCCTTGCCACTGTGGAATTTTCCCTTTTTCTTATTTTTAACTCCCGCCTTGAGATGTCCATCTCCGTTCTTCTGCGCGTCTCGAGCGTTTTTATCAACCCTGTCGTTGTTATGTGCACCCTTTCCTGTGCGCGGCTTGTTGTTGGGCGTCTTCACTTTCCCCTTGGTGTAGACCGCGTCCGATCGCTTCCACAGCTTTGCAACAAAAAAATTATCGTAGTTGTGCTTGTGCAGGTAAATCCTTCTACAGAGAGCGACCTTGCTGGAAAACTCTTTCTTCCTGTAGTGGGTGATCCCGGGGTCTCCAATTTGTATGTCGACGGGCAGGATATTCACATCCCTTTTTTTTAAAATGTAATTAATAACTTGTTCATTTTCCTCCACGGTGATACTGCAAGTGGAGTAGACAACGATGCCACCATTTTTCACCAAGCTGATGGCATTGTTGAGTAGTTTCCTTTGCTTCTGTGCTAATTCCCTAATTTCCTTAAGACTCTTTCTCCTGGCTCCTTTATTTTTGTTCACAACTCCTGTACCACTACATGGAGCATCTAACATAATTTTATCGAATTGGAAGGTCCACTTTTGTCCCACCTTCACAGCATCGAACGAGGTAATGACTAAATTGTGAATTCCCATTCTCGAGGCATTGGCTTCAATAGCTTTGCATCTCATTTTATTAATATCATTGGCGTACACGAAACCTTTATTTTTTTGCAGAGCACATATGAAGGTGCACTTTCCCCCAGGGGCAGCACACATATCCAACACTATATCTTCCGGTTGTACATTTAACTCCAACACAGGTATTAAAGAAGAGGCTGACTGGATCATGTAATAGCCATACATGTACTCATTTAAAGAACCCACATTTGAGTTCACATCATTAATAACGATTCCTACATTGTTCCAGTTCTCTCCTTCTTCTGCATTTATATTTTGGCTTTTCAAAATATTAATTAAATTTTTCCTCGTGATCTTAACCGTGTTTGTTCGTAAGTGTATCTCCTTTGGCAGGTTGTTCATCTCGAGGAACAGGTAGAGTTCCTTCAGGTCAAATAGGTAGTACAAATATTTAATCAGCTGCTCACTGTACTCATAGAAGTAGGTGTAATAGAACAGAAGCTCTTTCACAATGGCCGCTTTATTCACTTTTGCTTTAAGTCCTGTGGAAGGCATTTTTATCACCTTCTCCCTTTCGCTGAACAAGAGCAACAGATACTTCATGCGGTCTTCAATGTCCTCACTATTCATGAGCTTCCCCTTCCTGTACACTCCTATGTCATCTTTGTAAATCTGTTCTTCCCGGTTGATCCATTTTCTTTTGTTTCTTCTTTTAATCATGCCGGCCATTTGTGCGCGCACGTCTGTCATCCTGTGCGTTGTGTCACCAACTTCGGGGTGTTCTTCAAGGCCTACCGCGTCATCTCCGTCATCCACATGGGCGATGCCCTCCTCCTCATCACCACTACCTTCCTCCTCATCAGCACTACCATCCTCACCGTCGCTACCCCCCTCGCTACTCAAATCGCCGTACGACATGCCTTCACTCTCGGACCCGCTTTCCTCCCCATCGTCCTGCTCCCCCTCCTCAGCGTATTCACCATCTTCCGCGTCCTCCCCCTCGGCGCTCCCGGACTCGAACTCATCATCACTTGCATTCAATTCAAAATTCTCATTTTCAAAAAGGGCAAATGTTTTCCCACTTGTTTCTCCATTTTGGTCTTCCTCCTCCCTTGGGCCAGATTTTCCCTCATCAGGGTTTTCCATTTTGAGGGAAGGGGTTTTGTGGCAAAGGTGTCGTATTCGGCTGTTCTGTCATGCGCCGTGTTTTTTTTTTTTCACAGCTGCGTCCGCAACGAACGGGGATTCTCCAAAGTGGGGCAATGAAAAGAAGTGATGGACCTGGCCCCCCCACACGTAGCACGCTTTCACTCACAGAAAAACAAAACAAAGCAAAGCATTTGACAGAAGAGCCCCCTTTTTTCGTTCTGCCGCCGCAACAAAGAGAGTGGTGGCTGACAACGCGGTGATTCCAGTCGGCCTTGCTCTGCTAGCCAAATGAACAAAAAAAAAAATGATGGGTAAATTATTTCGCTAAATGGAAAAAAAAAAAAAAAAAATATTTCAAAAATAAGGACATTTTTACGAACGTATTTTTTTTCCCATTTGTATTATTTTTCGTCTTCCATTTATGCATGCCGGCAACGTGTTTTTTCTTTTTTTTTTTTTTTTTTTATGTAGAAAAATATCCCCGTTCGGGCCACGGCAGGCATGCGGCTTATACAACAACCGAGACGGCGCTGATCTTGTTCACACGGCACCGAAAAACAGTTACGGTGATGGGAGGAGACCCCGCGAGATCATAGCCTGGGAAATTACGCTTATTTAGAGGGACATCTCAGAGGACAGGATACATCTCCCAACATTGTAAAACATATAGCCATTTGCACAAGTATAGCCCATGGGTGGTGGGCCACTTCTAACAGTTTCGCAGGGGGCAAACACATTAATCATGAAGTCACAACCGATGTATTGGAAAAGCACAACAGAGGGTAATCCCTTATCGGCACATTTTTTTTATGCCGCAAATTCGGATAGGATAATATTTTTTTTGTTTTTTTTTGCAAAAGCCTCCTACATGACAATGCGCTGTGAATAGAAAAAAAAAATTTTAGGTTAAATAATGCGCATGTGCTAGAGTGGAACAAAAAAAAAAAGACATTATTTCGTGATAGTCCCTGTTGATCTTTTCTTCACCGCATGGGACCCTAAAGCTACCTGACCCACTGAGAAAAAAAAAAAAAAAAAAAAAAAAAGGTCCACATGTTTACCCCATCTAAACGAACACCTTTAAAAGTGTAATAAAGTAACAGTTACTCCTTTCTGTGCACCGAAAAAAAAAAAAAAAAAAAAAAACACGGGGGAATTTCTCCATACGGGAAGCACAAATAACCTGGGCATTTTCATCACGAATAGTTTTCAAATAAAATTATCGGCAAACTGAAGGTAGCCCCAGGATGATACACACACAAGGTGGGGGGGACATTTTTTTCACCTTGCGAACAGTAACACCTTAAGAAGGGGGCAATAATTAATAATAGCAGTGATAAAATAATAATAGCAATGATAAGAATAAGCAGAATAATAGCGGTGATAAAATAATAATAGCAGTCATAACCGTGTAGAGGCCACAAATCGGAGGAGCACTCGTCGAGGGAGGTCCCAGACGGAGTATAGGCCGCTCCCAGTATTCATAAAAATTGCCAACGAAAAGGCTACTCACAAAAGGGGAGGTATTTTTTTTCAACATGGAGAATGTAAAGGCGGAAGAGTCCCTCCCAAACGGCATGGAGAACGCCGAGCCAGAGTACCACTACGATATGCTCAAAAGGCACAGCTCGGAAATGAAAAAAGATCTCCTGGAGTGGTATTACAAATATAGGAGAAAACTACCCTGGCGGAATGACCCACCACCGTACACGACCAGCGTTCAGGTGCCGGAGGGAACACCACAAAGCGATATAAGGAGCTACTTCTGCAAAAAGGGAGATGCTCAAATTAGCAAGAATAATGCCAATAGAGAAAATGGAACGAGACTTATTACAAAAGGGAGGAAAAAGGACCAAGAGCAGTTACCCCTCCGGGAGGTAAAACGAGCTAAAAATGAATGTGTACAGAAATCATCTGTGCTGAAGAAATTATCTGTTCTGAAAAAATTACCTGTACAGAACAACTCACCTGAGGAGTGCAAAGGCCAGCCCAGCAATGAGTTGGAGGCTACCCAGGGGCAATGTGTGACCACCCTGATTAGTAACACCAAGGTAGAAGTAAAACAAGAGGATGGTTCATTGTCCCCAAGTGAGAAAGAACACTTAAGTGTTCGGGGGTATCAAATATACGTAAGCGAAATAATGCTTCAACAAACGAGGGTTCACGCAGTTGTTAATTTCTACCTTAAGTGGATGAACAAATGGGGTACTATTTTCGAGTTAGCCAAAAGTAACCTGGATGACGTTCTTATAGAGTGGAAGGGATTGGGGTATTACAACAGAGCGAAGAACCTACTAGACTGTTGCAAACATGTGGTTGACAAATACGATGGAGTGTTTCCTAACGATTTAAAGTTACTCAAAGAGTTACCAGGAATAGGAGATTACACGTCCAAGGCGATATGCATACATTTGTACAACAGCAAAGATATATGCATCGACACAAATGTGATTAGAATTTTTTCTAGAATTACAGACACGATTAATTATAGCAGCTCCACGGCTTTAACGAAACACTGTGAACGGGTGAGCCACGTTTTGTGCGCAGATGACTCCAATTATTCTGACCTCAGCCAGGCTTTAATGGACTTGGGGTCCAGCATTTGTAATGGCTCCCCCCAGTGTGCTCAGTGTCCCTTGAACAAGCATTGCCTCATCTATTTGAAGAAGAAGAACAATAATAATAATAGTAATAGTAAGAGTAAGAAAAGGGACAGTTCGTTTTATATGCCCCACCCCGATGGATGCAAGCTGTGCGTCCAAGACAGAAACGTAGAAATTAAGTGTGTTCCCTTGACCAAGAAAAAGAAGAAAAAGGAAAAAATATGCCTCGTTCTGCTGGTAAAGCGAAGTGTCTGTCCAAAGGGGAAGAACGCAAATATAACAAGCAAGGTGGAAAAAAGGAGCACGAAAAAAAAAAAAATTACCTTAACGGGTCAGAAAAGAGGAGAACAAATGGAGGATGACTACTACTTGATGATAAAGAACACAAACTCGAATTTGTTTTCAATGCATTATTTGTTTCCCCTTTTGCTCTTGGACCAGTTTGATAAAAAACTTGCGCACACGGTATGATTATGATGATGAAAGAATGGAGAGAGAGCCTTTCCTCCCCCCCCCATCTCCCATGGCGAATAACATTCTTTCTCTGCACACACAGTTGTCCGCCTCCCCGGTCTGTGAACAAATAACCCGTGAACAATTCCTCATTGCACCATGGCGATGGTTTGCGGACAATATCTGTAACACACCCAATATACATGTCTCTTTTTCCCCTTGTTTTTAGCATTTAAATGGGTTGCTGGGTAGCCTAAATTTGAGCAATATCCTGGAGGATTCCTTCACCTACGTAATTTTTGTTACCTCCGTTGTTTTTGCCCCTAAAATTTTTTTTTTTTTTTATCATTTTTATCTGCACAGTTCAGACAAGTTTGTGTTGTTACGCCTACAATTTTGCACACATTTGTAATTTTCCCGACTAGCTATTTTTTTTTTTTTTTTTTTTTTTTTTTTCAAGATTAATAATTTTAAGCATGTGTTTTCTCACCTCACATACGACACGCACATTTACGTATGTTCTGTCCTGAACGCGGTAGGGAAAAAAAGCTGGCACGCAGTTTTTTTTTTTTTTTGTTCACTTTTGCATTGTCCTTTCTTTTTGTTTTTCCTACAAAGTAAGCACATATGTTCCGTTTTTTTTTACAGGAAAATATTACAGAGAGGAAGGAAAATGTCTGGATAAAGTTGAAAGACATTCAGGTATTGTTTGATATGTATGTTGCTCATTTGTAAATTTAACGCTGCATTTTTTTTTGTTTTTTTTTGCCACCCCTGTGATTACACGTTTGAAATTTTTCCCTCTCCACCCCCCACATACAGGACTTCACGCACAACAGCTTTTGTCAAAACATAATAGACCACTACAGAAAAAGCGTGACTGAGTCTAGGATGTATCTCTCATAATTGTGCTTGTAGACACGGGGATATGGGAGAGGCACGGGTTGCGTGTTTTTGCATTTCCCTCGAGTGCTACGGGGCAGGACGGTAAAATTGTTCTCACGTCGTATGCACGGGCGGATGTTCCGTCCAGTGTTCATTTGTAAGTCGCGGCGCTACGACATTTCTCGATCCATTTGCCCCTCCCAATTTGGTTTAACGAAGCTTCGTTGGACCCCACTTGTTTTCCAACCGAATTGCGCGTAATTTGATTTAGCTCACCGTGTCTGTATGTGTGTATAGCGCCGGTTGGGAAGTCGCCTCTTTGCTCAGTTACTTCGCTGACATATCTATATTCACGTGACCACATTGTTATCCCCCTTTTGAAGGGTGAACACGGATAACTGAAAAAGGCTCCCACGGCAAGCAAAGTAGTTTTTTTTTTTCTCTCATTTGTGCCTGTCAGTGGAGATAATTATGTCTCCATGCATGACCGTCCCCACCACTTGCCTTTTTCAGGCATACCTTTACATGCATAAGTGCATGTGCCACATTTAGTGAATCTTTTTTTCGTGTTAAACATGTGCTTATCACCGTTGAAGAGGAGCAGAAATGTTCTTTACACACCGGCTGCGGAAGCATTTGTGTGTGTCTTTACTCCCCCGCTGCATACGCTGATCTATTTGTTACGGCTATTGAGCTTTGTGCGGTAGGACGGAAGTGCAGACGAGGTATATAGCCCCGTACTACACAGACTAAATGGTGTGGGGGATAAGCATATAGCCCCTTGGCAGGAAAGACCATCGATGCGTTTTGTCCTCTTCCATGTACTTTTTACACATGTGAAGGGGTGAGACGTCCACTTGAACCGATTTACACTTGAAGAACTAAGACAGGGGATCCAAAAAAAAAAAAAAAAATAATAATAAAATCATGGGAAACGAATGCAGCTGCGGAGAAGTGAACAGCGCGAAAGCGAGAATCTCTAACGGAGAAACGAACAAAAAGCTGCAAGATTTACACCTGTGCTGGGATGAAGACGTGGGAAAAAATCTCCTAAGCGAAGATGAAGAGACGGAAGACGACAACTATTTCTATCGTTTGGAGAAAAGAAAAAATATGAACAAGTCAGGTGAAAAAGGAAAATACAAAGAGGAGGAACATGTTAATAAATGGAACATTTTTGGAGACGAACTGGAAGGAGATTACACCATTAACGTGAAAAAAATACTCATGTATGTTAGGGAGTACGAGGATGATTTTTTTGTTTTCTTTAAAAAGAGAAACGCTACAAGTTTGATTTTCTTAAAGTATATAATCCTAAATTACCAAAAGTACATGCTGCGCATTGGCGATACAGGTGTGGTGTACATCGGGGAAGTCAGTCCAACTAATGAGAAGCATGGGTTAGGAGTGATCATTACACCTGACCAGTGCATGTACATAGGGGAGTTTGAGAAGGATCAAATTACAGGGTTTGGTTTGTACGTCCATTTCTCCAAAAGTATTTATGTAGGACACTGGAAAGGAGGCAAGACAAATCACTACGGAATATTTACCCACACAGATGGTACCTTTTACAAAGGACTCTGGTCCAATGACAAGCAAAATGAAAAAGGAATTGAGCATGTGTATGCGAACTATGTCTTTTTGGGGAATTACAAAAGAGGAGAAAAAAATGGCTTTGGAGCTTTTATTCTGAAAAATGAGTCCATGTACATTGGGCATATAGAAAATAATTGCTTCTCCAAAAAAGGGATTTACTTTTTTAATAGGAAGAAAATGTACATAACGAACTGGGAGAAGAACTGCATAGGGGGTGCTTGTGAAATCGTGTGGTTAGACAGGAGACAGTTTTACGGCTACCATTCTACCAACAATAGCAAGGAGGGCATAGGTATTTACAAGTGGAATGATGGCAGGATCTATTTTGGAAACTGGTCTAACAATAAGCAACACGGTTATGGGGTCTTCATTGTGATCAAGCATATTAGGGAATATGAACGGAGAGAAAAGGCCCCCTTTTTGTTCTTTTTTCAGCAGACAAGAAAGGTGAAGGAGTATTTCTTTTTAAATCTTTTAAAGGAATCCTTTTTTGAGAAGGGCCGGGTGCGTGGCGAGCTGGAGAGGGCCATCTGGGGAGAAGCAGTAGACCACTATACGGCACACTGTTCCGCTTCACAAGAGGCTTCACCTCAGGATGGATCCCCAGAGGGAATGACACCCCAGTGTAACAACCTGGACGCATACCTCTTCCTAAGGACGCTGCTATGCATGAGGTATTACCAGACCTGCTGCTCCTACTTCGACCGCCTCGAGAAGAAAAAGTGCAACAGCTTCAAATTTAACTGTACCTTCTATGAAAGGGTGAAGGAGCACATTTGTTCCGTGACGAATAGCTACTTGAATCGGCGCTCGGCGCAGGAGCGATGGGGGGGGAGCGACTCGCCTGCGTGGAGCGCCCTCCAGGGGGAGGTAGGCCACACGAAGGGAGAGGGAGATTATACGAGTGAAGAGACCGGCTACACGGATGAAGACAGTGACGGCACAGATGAAGAGAGTGACGACACGGATGAATGGGAAGAGACGAATGGATGCAATGGTGAAGAGACCCATCAGAGGGGCCACCCCTTTGGAGAGAATTCCCCCCAGAAGACGAATCACACAAAGGATAACCACCCCCCCTTCGAAGACATTGAACTTTTGAAAAACTACCTGAGCTGCCTAAACCTGAGCCACGTCAGCGAAGAAGACATCACCCCCCAGAACCCCCTGTTCAAATTCGCATCTAGTAACCTTGTCCTTAAATTGGGGAGGTGGCAAAATGGGAAGTTGCAGGAATGGATTCACTCCAGTGATAATTCGCGCTCAACGGGCGGTCGCGTCAGGGAGCAGGCAGGCAGTCGGCCAAATAAGCATACAGTGATGGCAAATGTGAAAAAGGAAAGAAAGACAAAAAAAGGACGCACGCAGGAATTGCTCCCCAGACCTTGTAATCGCTGTGTGATTGACAAATTTTTGGACCGCATGTCCTCCTCTGAGGGGGGCAGCAATGGGAGTAGTGAGGAGGACATGTACAAGAACGGTCATACGAGCCACCATGTAAGACGGAAAATGAACCCCCAACCGCACAACCACCACAACGATCGGGGGCACACCCCATTCGGCGCTGCTCGCACCGGGGAACCCCCCGAAACAGTGCCCAGGAAAGGCCTTCCACGGGGAACCTCCCCCATTTTACAAGGCCACAAATTTCATGGCGAACAAGGAGTCCGCATCGCTAGTGGTTCAAGTGACACGAGTGGGAGAAGTTCCTTGGAGGTGACATCTCCCATGTCCCATTTGAGACATGGTCACCAGGCCACCAGCTCTGTCGTACAGGAAGAGATGGATGTGCAAACTAGTTTCACCGACACGAACAGCATAAGGAAGGGAGTAGATCTAGGGGGAGTCCCAATGGCAAGCATCCTGCACAAGGGGAGTTCCAGTACATATCAGGTTACCAAATCGAGTGATAAAGTGACAACCCAAGAGAGAAAAATAAATCGAATGAACAGAGGGATCATCCACAAGGGGGAAGATTACGAAGGAGACGTGGACAGTACTCACGAAATTAATGTGCGGCATGCCTTGCAGGGGGAGCAGGGGTCCCATCTGGGGCAGGAAAGTAACTCTATAGGGGGGAAGAAACCCGAACAACGGAACAGAAGCGCTGGCAAAAACGATTCACATGGGGTCAGCATAAAAGATGCACGTAGGGTCAACAAATTGCGCCCTCATTTCCCGAGCCTTCCAGAGAAAGACGAGGAAGGCATCGTGTCCAGTGTCACTTCTCACAACTACGATTTGCCAAAGAAGGGGTTCTCCCTAATATGGAGTTTAAAAAGGATGAAGAATTCCCATTTGTCCGCTAATGAGCACATAACATTTGAGGCTCCGCAGGCGTATGACGATGAGAAAGACAGCCAGTCAGGGGCATGCCATAAGAAGAAGTCCTTTTTTGGAAGGTTCCTGCGGGGGGCACGCCGTACCGGGGGGGAGGCAAAACGGGAGGACTAACGGCTTGAAGCGAGCGTGCGAAGTGTCCGTCTGGGCGCTTCACATAGGAACGCTCCGTGGAAGGGGGAAATCACGCCATAAGTGTGCTCGTCCGTTTTGTCCGTTTCAGCCAACGGAGGAAGAAATGGGGAAAAGCACGAAAAAACAAAAAAAAAAATGGCTACGATAAGGGGAACAAAAGGATTTCCCTCTCTCTCTTCCTTACCACCTATGTGCAAATGTGTTAAGCTGTTATGTTTGTTCGTTTGACGATCTGTTGCTGTCTTTTTTTTTTTTTTTTTTTTTTTTTTTTGGGGGTGGGTCCAAATTTTCTTTGAAGAAAGAGGTCCCTTTGTCCAATTTGATCTCATCGTTTCTGCGCTTTGTGTAGAGACAAAACTGCGTTTTTTTTTTTTTTTTTTTTTTTTTTAAAAAAATAGCTGTACATAATATTATTTTGTGGCTTCCTTTTGTGGAATACCGTTTAAGAGGGGAAAAAAAAAAAAAAAAAAAAAAAAGCCACTTGTGGTTAACCCTTTTACACATGCTCCGTTCTTGGGCCTTTTTTTTCTTTTTTTTTCTTTTCCATTTGTTGTACATTTTTTGTGCGTTCCTTTCGACACCTTCGGTTTGTTTAGCAGTATGCCGTTCAGTTTACCGACCAGTTTGCAGACTAGCTTGCAGGCTAGCATGTCGATCTTTTTTCCTATCCAACTTTCCATCCGTGCCACACCCCCCGTTGTCTTCACCCTGCCCGTTCACCTCCACGCGTAGTGTACGGTATCTTGGCCTTACCATTTTTGCAAAACGTGCTCGAAGCGGGTATCGCCTATCGTCCATCGCCCATCGTCCGTCACGCGAGAGCGTCCCTTTGAGCTGCCAAATGAAGAACTGAGTTACATACACAATCACCTAGATATATATATATTTTTTTTTTGCCCCTCGTGAGGATTCGCTCAACTTTGCAGAGAAATGCAGATTGTGCAGTTATGTAGAGATAAGCACAAACATTTTATTTTTATTTTTATTTATTTTTATTTTATTTTTTTTTTTTTTGAGCGCCAAGGGGACAACGCTTGCTCATATTAATTGTAAGTGAAAAGTGTTGCCAAAAAAACCAAAGAAAAAAAAAAAAAAAAGCCATTTAAGAAATTACACAATTGTCTTATGCATAAGTATATTTGAACAGTTTTGTGCATCACATGATTGTACTTTAGTAAGGGAGAATATATATAACTGAGTGTATAGGTACCTGTGCACGGACCCAAGTAGGCGTTTTCCGTGTAACGCGCTCATGAGAACGGATTTGGAAGAGGCATATCGGTTAATTGCGTTTGCCTTTTGTTGCACGTTTGGGTAAATTCGACGGGGACCCACCCACCTACATCCATCCATCCGTTGTGTGCGTGCGTGTGTCAACATTTTTACGTTCGTTACGCGTCAACCCCAAATTTTAAAGGCCAAACGGATTGGAAGTGCTGCCTTTGATCTTCCCAACCTGTACATTTGAAAGGAGGAAAGAAAAAAATTTCCCGCCCACACGTTCTCCACAGTGGGTTTTTTCTCGTTAAGAAGGTGAAGTCTCCTCGCCTTGGTACGACGTTTCTCCAGAGGGCTTTTCCCCTCCCCCCCCAATTGAAAAGTTATATTAACAAAGACACGCGGCCGCTTGTTCGAGCGCGTGTATATATGTTTATATATGTACATATGCACACGTTTCATCGCATACGCATTATCCCTCCCCTGCAGGCCGGCTGAAGGCAGTCAAAAATAATGCGCCCGTAACCCATGGGGTCCCAAGCAAAGTCGAGCATCCCCCTGCCCCAGGCAGGTCAGGAAGGGCAATCCGAGCAGGAGTCGAAGAATAATGCAGGGTCAGGTGCAAAAAAAGTGAATCCTACAAATGGAGGAACAAGCTTGATCAGTTTGAGAGGATACGATATGCCATCCACGTTGGAAGAGTTGTTAGAAAAAAAAGAAATTCGAGTTTCTTCACAACAGAAGACCCCCTTCAACATAAACAGGAACATTATTCTGTTTGTGTATTTCATGTTGATAGTCCTAACCAATCGTTTATTTTTTGGTTGGCCAAATTTATCCAATCTGTTATTTCGAGATGGAGCCTATGTGTGGAAATGCCCTAAAAACCCAGATGGGTCATACAGCAAGAGTGATGACAAGAGGTATGTGTGTGAAGATCAGGATAAGGCCGTACAGACAATTTTCGTGTTTGGATCTTCTGCCTATTTTGCATTTTCCTTTTTTAATGGAATCATTGTGGATTATTTGGGCTCAAGGTTTAGTATGCTTTTAGGTCACTTGTTAAATTTGCTTGGTTGGATCCTCTTATTAATGTCAAATGAGAAATTCGATGCGTATGTTATTTCTGGTGTGTTCATCGCAGCAAGTATTGATTTGGCCTCCTTTTCCACCTTGAATGCTTCCGGTTTATACCCTGGGAATGAAAATTTAATTGTGAATATTATATCTGGTGCTGGGTCTTTGTCTGCAGGAACAATGACTATACTGGACTTAATAATAAGTGGCTTAGATTTGAGTTTTAAAACGTTTATGCTTTGGTACATGTGTATAAGTGTGCTTTTTTTCTTCGTCCTTACCATTTTTCTCTTCCCCAAAAATAGGTATTACAGGCAATATGAATTTGATAATTATTATAATAGTCGAGGAGGGATGTGCATGAAGGGTGCAGGAGATGATATTTCGAACCGGGCCATGGGAGGTGGTAGTAGTAGTAATAGAAGTGGAAGTGCTGTTGTGGAATTGGGCAAAGGTTCAAGCAAGTCTGTGATACAAAAAGATATAGAGATGAATGTGGGGAAGAACAAGAAGGACAGTATGGACAACAGTACTAATAACAAGAGTAACGCTTCAAATGAAAATGAAAATAAGAGCATGTTTAATATGGCTAGCTTGAAGGATTTAATAAAGATATGTACATGTGCTCATTTTTTATGTCTATGGATTTATGGTCCACTCAATGCCATTTATAACACCTTCTACTTTAGTGTCGTGGAAAATATTCTTTCCAAGGATAAGAATGATATGCTGGGTTTTATTCTCCCCTTTTCCTTTATCCCTTGTATTATAATGGGCAATTTATCGGACAAGTATGGAGTCATGGTTATGTTTTCCTACGAGCTTTTTTTTGCCCTTTGTATGTATTTGTTTAGCTACATAAAATCGAATCTAGCTCAGTGGATCTCCGTTATCTCAAATACTATGTACTCTGCTTGTGCCAATGGCCAGTTGTGGACCTTTATATCTTTTACCTTTAGTTCCAAGTACCACTCTACACTCATCGGGCTGCTCAATTTCGTTTGCGGGATTGTCTCCTTCGTGCGTCTCCTGCTGTTCGAGTGGGCCAAGTACACCAAGTACGATTTTACCTACATCAATCTGCTTATAATTGGGTTGATCGTGATTAACGTGGGCGTCACGGTGGCCATCGTGTTTATTAGGAAGATCAAGGGGGAGAAGGTGCACTACGGGGATGAGGACTCCCTGGCCGTAGACTGATCCACGCGTCTCCTTCCACACGTGCTGCGTTTGCCGCGTTTGCTACGTTCGCCGCGTGTGCCCCCTTTTGTAAAGTTACAAAGTGCCACTTCGAAGAGGAAAGCCCATCGACAGTTACCATTCACACCCCTAATTCGTATTTTTTTTTTTTTTTTTTTTTTCTTTCGTGTGGGTCGAGCTCCTCACTTCTCACACGTTTGAGTTCACCCCCCGCCCAGCGGTGCAATGCACGCAAAAGTTACCACATACACATATATTAAAAAAAAAAAAGACTAACAAAAAAAAGAAGAAAAAAAATGCATCTTCGCATACATCGCAGCGCGTGTTACGCGCATTCGTAAATTGTATGCCCCTCTCCCACGTCGTTTGTTTGATTTTATGTTCTTTTCACCCATGGCGCATATCGCCAAGTATGGGAAGAAAACCATGCTGACAAACTATACACCTTAGGTTATTAAAAAAAAATTTTTTTTTTTTATTTGCCTCAATTTTGTGGGTACAGCGGTGTACCACGCGAATGGCATAAAGGGGGGTCCCCTTTATAAATGGTGCAGACTATGGCATTATGGACAGAAGTGGACGAAAGCGCCTACTTGTCTGCCACCCCCGCCTGCATATACTGAAGGACGACAGCCCGCACCAGGCGCAGAATCTCATCTCGCTGAGCAACAGTTGTCGCCTCCGCGTAAATGCGAATGAGCGTCTCCGTCCCCGAGGGTCTTATAAAGCATCTCCCGTGCACAGCATCCACTGTCTTCACAATTTGGTCTATTCCATTTTGCAGACTCTGCGGCGCTATTAGGTACTTCTCATGCTCGGGGTGCGCAAGTATCTTACTCAGCATATATTTAGAACAGGGCAAATTGACGTAGAGGGAAGGGAGGGGGGTGTAGAAGGCATCCCAGTCATGTATAGTGAGATGGAGAACAGACAAGCACAATTCGATGGCAACAAAATCGACCATGGCATCTCCTGTGGTTTGATTAAAAAACAGGAGAAATCTTTTTAACGCCATGAAATATTTATCAGATTGTATTTCCAACCAACTCGCGCACTCATTCAATTGAGAAATATTTGTGTAGATGGTGCCATGGCCATTCGGCTCGAACAATATCGCGATGGTCGATTCTCTTGCAACCTGGTCCAAATATTTAATGCCTGTTTTCGTGCAAATAATATGAACATTAATGTGTTGAAAGAGATCAACATTTTCGCTGGCGCGTCTTTTCTCTTCATTCATGTGGTGAATAAAAGCTGAGTTGACGTAAGCTGTGTGCACAATGCTGATATTAATTTTTTTTTTTTTTTTTTTTTCTTCATCCAAATGTGAGTTTTTTTTTTCCACCTTAATGGGACTCATAATTTTGGTGATGCATTTGAAAAACAGGCAAATGATTTTCGGCCCGTCTAGGATGGACACACAGTTGGCACGGTTGACAATTTCATTGTCGTGATGATTATCCCGTTTTGTATCTCTCAACGGAGGAGACGATGCTGCATCCACGTGTTCGAAACTACCATTCCTTCTTCCCATGTCCTCCACATAGAAGTAGACGATCCGATCAGCGTCGCCGTCAAATGAACAACACTTCGTATGGCCAACCTCGAGACAGTTCCTTCCATTAAGAGGTAACTTCCTGTTGCTGTACACATAGTCTGCTCCGCATTGGAAGTTCAAAACGCTTTCTTCATCCTGCACAAAATTTATTTTTATAATTTTTTTTTTTAACATTTTAAAAATGTTACTGAAATTATCCAATTTAAGACTAGCTATTCCGTTCGAGCAGTCCACATGGATAATTTCTTCTGCACAATTTTTCGTCAAAGCTCCGTCAAATATTTCGTCAAGGCATCTGTACAGTTTTTTGAAGGCGTTCGTAAAGTAGGCGAAGTAAATCTTGTCGCTGTTATAGGCCCTCAGGTGGCTGACATTGCTTTTTTGCAACGTGCTCACCTCCGGCCCAGCAGGTGACAGTTGACCATATGGCTGCTCTCCCACCCCGTAGTACAGATCGCGTGGGGGAAGCTTCCCCTCCGGGATGCAGAAACCGCTAAGATAATCCAAGTCGCCCACTTCCTTATGCAAATGGCACCCCCCCGCATTGATAACGTCAGAGTCCAACGCTTCATCCACATTAACTGCGTTAAAAAAATACACAACAAAGTGCATGCACGGCGTGGTAACATAACACATATTATTTACACACTTGCAAATATTTAGGAGATTCAACGTTTCAACAAGGATCTGGTTGAGGTGTACGGAGCTGCTCCTCGTGTCAAACCCGATGCACACATTCGCCTTCAGCACATTTTGTCTGTTAAAAGAGTGAATCATATTGTCCAACATGCGTAAATTCTCAAAAGAGAAATCATCATACATGTCTATGTGTGCTTCCTCCTTGAAGAGATGAGCAATGCAGTCGATTATATCATCGACGATGTCGTTGATGGAACATTTTTCATTTTTTCGAAGAAATCTCAAATGCCTATTTACCAGATCGGTTAAATAACCTTCGTATACTTGGTTTATTTGTCTCCCATTTTGGTCAATTATTTTTACTCCATTTTCATCATGGGGGTTATGCGAAGCGGTAATTATTATGCCCACATTTTTCCACCTAACTTCATGCACACCACACACATTGTACAAATCCTGCTCTCTTCCTTCCAATTGGTCCCCAAGTAGGTTATGCCTCTTAGCCGTTTCATAATTGTACTTAGCAAATAGCAGTCCCACAAGAATGCCGCTTTTATTTAAAGCGTTCAACAAATCACAACTGGCAGATTGGTATTTATCGCGGAAGCCGCTATTTCCATAAGAAAATTCGCAGTTGCACTCGAATTGTATGTGACCCTGTTGTGAAGAAGAATAACGTGGTAGGTACTTCTCCATGCAGGGCTTGATTTTCTGGTAAAATAGACTCTCTTTGCGATTCGGCATGCTTTTGTGTGTGCAGATGAAATGGGTCTAGCTAGCTTTTTTCCTCAAAATGTTGTGAACAGTTCGGGGATTTTTTTTTTTTTTTTTTTTTAAGTACCATTTTGTATGAACGGGTCATAATATGTTTCCTTTTTTTATACCATTTTGTATGAACGGGTCATAATATTTTTCCTTTTTTTACCACACTATGCCTACAGTAATGCCGGGTCATGTTCCGCATGGTGTAACTTTTAACGCGCCATAAGTGGAACATTTGCAAACGAGAAGGTACACTGCTCTATATATTACCGGTTTATCGAACAGGGGTGAAGCGGGTCAGCGGGGTCCACTTTTTTATCCCTTGACGCAGTTTTAATGTTTTGCTACACCAATTTTTGTTTCTCTTCAAACAAAATACATCCATTTGAAGAGTCCAAATGAACGCGGCCCAATTTTGTCCTCTCCGGTGGGCTTTCCAAAATGGCATTAAAAATATGAACAACAAAAAGGGTACAACTAAATGTGTACTGCTCCTTATGCGCTTGGGGGAAGGAAAATTTCCCCCACAGACAAACTGTTCACTGGGCCAAAAATACACGACACTTGCAAAATTATTTAACTATTGCAAAAGTTTTGTGAATTTTTTTTTTTCCTGCATGGTTGATAGGGCAGAGGGTTTACCCAAACAACCCTAACACCACATTGCGTGCGCACTACATAACAGACAACCGAGCCCCCCTACGCACTTTATTCGCGTTTAAAAAAGAAGAATTCATCTTTTATCCTGGACAAGCAATTGTGCACGACGTTCGATTCGGGCGCAGTTTTCACAAAACGGTGATGCTACCCCGTTTCATATGTACACACAGGTGATTATATTTTAAAAGTTAATCGTTGGATCGTAACGGAATGACAAACATGGTGTGAAAAAAAAAAAAAAAAAAAAGTCGATATATAAGGAGGGGGCAATGATATAATACAGGCGGGAAAAGAAGGAGAGAAAGAAACAAGTAAGCAAACCGGTAAGCAAGCAAAGCAAGGCTCTTCCCTCCTCCTTTCCTTCCACAACATGTGCACAATTTTTCTATATTAGCCAAGCGTCTGGGTCAGGGAAAAAAAAAAAAAAAAACTCCACAAGCTAGCTGCTATATAACAGTACCATGGTCACGCAAAATATGTCGCATTTTCGACCTACTGCCCAACCGTGTCAACGGTTCGCAGGACTGTTTCAAGTGCGTAACCTTTCTCCTTTTACGCATGTGTGGACTGATCGGTATGAGTTAAAAGCACGCTCGCACGTGTCGTATTACCCATTCACTTTTCCATCTACCTTCCATTTTCTGTTTTTCGGCTCCGCTTTGTGAGGAGGGCGCACCGGTTGTTTAGCCCTTGCTGAATTTCACTTTCTTGACTGGCTGTACGACTTTCCTCTGGGGATAGTAAATTCGCTTCAGGCTTGGGAGCAGCGAGTTTTCAATTCTCTCTGCTTTTTTCTTATCTGAAAAAACCATCGTGTAAAGGTACTTTTTCGTTCTCAGCTTCAATTTTGTGATTATGGTATTTTTCTTCGTTTTGCTTTTCTTCTTCATTATAATGACCGCCGTGGTGTCGGGCTTTCTGCTGATTTTTAAGAACTTACGAATGTCGGTGATTTGCCTAGGCATTTTGAACTTTTTATATTAATTGAATGAGAGGGAGATGTATTATTTATATGAGTTGGTGGGTATTCGTTGGAACGGGCTGGCCGCGGTGCTTTTTTTATGTTTTGCTCTACTGTATACAAAAGCAGAAGGCCGAATGTTTTTTATTCTCCTTGGTGAACACGAGATGATTTTACGCAAAAAGGTATCCTTGATCGCTTCTTCTCTGTTGCCGTAACTGGTTTGAAAAATTTTCCATAAAAATAATTCTTTGAATTAAAAAATTTGTTTTTTCAGTAAATTGGGGGGAAAAAATGCTGCATTCATATATATAATGTCGACTTGTGGCCGCAACGTGGCCGATTTTTTTTTGCCATAATTTTTTAATCGAATTTTTGCGAATGTTTTTTGCTGAAAAGGGGGAGAGCGCGGTTTCCACTTCAATAAAAATCTGACCAGCGTTATGAGCCTCGGCGATGTTGAAAGGACGTGCCCGGTTAAAAAAAAAAAAAAAAAACGTAGCGCTTGGCCGACCGTCGACCCTTTGTTCCCGGCTATCCGGTCAGGGGTGTATCGTTGGGCTGCGCATACCGTATGCCGCTGCGAGCACTTACAGGGGCAACATCTGCAGGCCTCCTTCAACTCGGATGCAGGAGCATACCCTAATAACGTGCGCAACTAATGAGAGGTATAATTATATTATATATAATAATGGGTACACGTATGACATTATGAGTGTCACGCTATGTTATCCCCATGCGAGAAAATACTCTTTTGCGCGCAGCTCCCGTAACGCACCACTTCTGAATGCGCCATGTACAGTGGCGGCCCACGTCCCAGTGCTGTTAATCGTATGCCCATGGTACGCGCGCCAGTTGGCACTTATGAAAGAACACCTTTTGCGGGGAACAGAGGGCTACCAACAAAAGTGTTCAATTTTTAAAGCAGGCCCATCTGTGTTTGCCCCCTTTGCTAATATAATATAGTGCCCCCCCCTCCCCCCCGGAAGCATATTTTGTGCCTGACCCGTATTCTTTTACCAGCCGATAAGCGCGGCGGGAGTCGCTTATATAACTTTCAGCGCTCAGCAAAGGATTTATGTTCACATGGCGCCGTCCCCTTTTTCCACTACGAGGTGGAGGCACAATACGTAAAACGAAAAAGGAAATAATTGGCTTGCCATATAAATAAAGCGGAAAAAAAAAAAGAACGTCCACCCTTTCCCCACAAAAAAAAAAAGCAGGAAACTTAAATTGTCGTGTTGCTTCACTTCTTAACGTTACGCAGAAGAAAAAAAAAATAAATGCTATGGAAAATGCAAAAAAAATTAGGATCAAAATAAAAAATAAAAAGTAAAAAACACAAATGTGACGAGCAACACTCTGCTTCCACAAATTGCGAACATAAAATCACCCTCTCTCCCTTAAACCGTTTTTCACCCCTCCGGAGGAACATACAATTTATGGTAAGCGAAACAGGAAAAGCTCGCAGCGCTTCTAACATGTAACAACACGATGCGCTGTGATGCGATGAGATGTGATGAAATCAGATATGCATGACGCGGGAAAGTTTTCCCTACGCCCGTATTATTATTAACAGTGTGAATGTTACGTATGCGCAGGAGTTTATCATCATATGGAGGCCGCGTACGCGCGTGTTGTGGGAAAGATTTTATGTTCTTCCCTCAACGGAAATAACTTCCCAGTGCGGCTTTTCTTTTTTTTTTTTTTTTTTTTTTTTTTGTTTATCAATTCCATAATGGCAATGCGTTTTACCATTTCCGATGAGGACCCCCGTTGCGTGATCCACCGTTTATATAACATATGCTGAACGCGCGACTGCCTGGCCTACAACACACAGGGGTTGGTACCCTATGGGTGCCCCCATACCCGCTCATGCGTATGAGATTGTTTTGCGCAAAATATGTACATACAACGGGTCTCATGCACGCTACTCGCTTGCATACTGATGCATGGTACTTGTTTATTGCTTCCCCCGTCTCGCGGACCAGTGTTATGCATTTACTATGTCGTGGTGTGGGGCGCAAATGCTACTGCAAAATGTGTTCTCCCGTTGCGCGAAACACATGAGGGCACGCGAACAGCATTTGTCACCTTGTCCACTTCTATTTGACGGCCCTGCTGTAGGGGCAGCATTCGACCAGTTCTTATCACATGAGCTATATATATATATATATATATATATATATATATGTTTTTTTCCCATGCTGTGCTCATAAAGTGTGCACTTTTTTTTTTCTCCATTTTGCCTGACCTGTTCATAACATTTTTGCATTTTTTTTTTTTTTTTTTTTGGATTATTCCCCGTTCAGGTTAAATTGATTGTCAGACATTGATTGTGTACTGCCAGTCTCCATAAAGAAAAAAAAAAAAACAGGACATTCGAGCATTTCAATACATATATTACATATTTACTTCTTCTTCCGCAACGACATTTTATATTTTTGATTTGATTGAGTAGAGCAAAATGGCGAAGTTATCAAAAGCACAGAAGAAACAAATATACATCGAGAAGCTGAGTTCGCTGATTCAACAGTATACGAAAATTTTAATCGTACATGTGGACAATGTAGGATCCAATCAGATGGCTAGTGTACGTCAGAGCCTAAGAGGAAAGGCCATAATATTAATGGGAAAAAATACGAGAATTCGAACAGCACTGAAGAAAAATTTACAAGCTGTTCCTCAGATAGAAAAGTTGTTACCATTAGTAAAGTTGAATATGGGTTTTGTCTTTTGCAAAGATGATTTGAGCGAAGTGAGGAACATAATTTTACAAAATAAATCTCCTGCACCAGCAAGGTTAGGTGTTATAGCCCCGATTGATGTTTTCATCCCACCAGGACCAACAGGGATGGATCCATCTCACACATCCTTTTTTCAATCGCTTGGAATATCCACAAAAATTGTGAAGGGGCAAATTGAAATTCAGGAGCATGTACATTTGATTAAGCAAGGGGAAAAGGTCACAGCATCATCGGCTACTCTGTTGCAAAAATTTAATATGAAGCCTTTTTCATATGGTGTGGATGTTAGAACTGTGTACGATGATGGTGTCATTTACGACGCCAAGGTGCTGGATATAACTGATGAGGATATTTTAGCCAAATTCAGTAAAGGTGTGTCCAGCGTCGCAGCTTTGTCGAGATCGATCGGTGTGCTGACGGAGGCCTCCTACCCACATGTCTTCGTGGAGGCATTCAAGAACATTGTTGCGTTGGTAATTGATACAGATTATACCTTCCCTCTGATGAAGAAGATTAAGGACATGGTTGAGAACCCAGAGGCTTACGCTGCTGCTGCGCCTGCGGCTGAGGCTGAGGCCAAGGCAGATGCCCCCAAGAAGGAGGAGGCCAAAAAGCAGGAGGAGGAAGAGGAAGACGAGGAGGACGGCTTCATGGGATTTGGCATGTTCGACTAAGATGAGCCAGACGGAGTCAGCAAGCTGGGTACCCTCATCGGGCAAACTACAGAGGTAATGTAACATGCACAGTGCGACTTCGCTCGTAGCGTTTTTCATGAGTTTCATTTGTATACGTGTTGATGCCACCCCATACGGCACCCGTGAGCCTACTCGGAGAAATATTCTCTCAGTTGGTGACACGTTCATGAGAGGACATCCTTGTAAATGTGTATTAAACGTTTACGGTTCATAAAGGGGAGATGCCAATTGGGGTGAGATGTGGCTCTTGTGTTATTCTACAGGGGAGTTAATCCGCCCCCGCCGCTGTTCTTCCCATTGAGGATACTCTTTGTATTGAGTTTGCTAACACAAAAGAAAGCTGTACCTCGGGCTCGAGAAAGACCCAAACGCACGTGGCATATCGCAATGCTTCTGCTCTGCCGGATGATGACAAGCATTCTCATATGTTCGCAGTTGAGAGTTGAAAAAAGAACGACTCGATGAATTATCTTTGTAGCCTTCACTTAGATGTCTGACCCCAGAGCTGAAGTGCGTACCGCCACCTGCATTTGTGCAAGCGTGTGTGTGATTTTGTGTGTACAATACCCCCCCCTTTTACCTTTATTAAACGAATAGCTGAATTGGGGCATGCGAGCCAGTGTGCTCACGACATCCCCTCTTTCTCTCCCTTTTTGTGTGTGATGACAAAGCATTCTCATATGTTCGCAGTTGAGAGTTGAGTTGAAAAAAGAACGACTCGATGAATTTTTATCGTAGCCTTCACTTAGATGTCTGACACGAAAGGGAAGACCCCCAACGAGTGTTTTCTCTCCCCGGGGCGTCTTTGCATACAAAAAAAAAAAAAAAAAAAAAAAAAAGTTTACCGCATTGATGGGGAGAAATGCAAGTTGCACCTTTTATGTTTCATAATCCTACACTTGCTTATGAGCAGGAAAGGGATTGCTTCCACTTGTATAATAGCTTTAGTATACACATAGGCCCCTTTTATCGTACCTTACAGATTTAAAGGAAGACTTATACACACCTACCGTTTGGACCAGATGAATCGAATGTCCCACGTGGAAGGATGTAGAGATGGAGAATGATGATGTGAAGACTCACAGTCTTCCTTCACCGGCGTGTACCCAAATGGTTGGTTACCTGTGCATGTGTCCATCATTGCAAGAGAAATGTGAGAAAAGGAACAAATTGAACGGTTGCCGGGTTACAAAACTCTCTTTTGTGAGTGTGTCCCCTCTGTGTAGAAAATGCATGTGTAATATGTATGTCGAATTTTTTTTTTTTTTTTTTTTTTAATTAAATGATAATGCGGTTAAACTTTTTTAAAGATACAAAATACGAACTGTAAAACTTTAAAATAAAAAAAAATTCCCCTACAATTGTAGTGTTAAACATTTTTTCAAAGGGGCCAAAAAATTGCCCAAGGGAGGAACGTTGGCTCGCTTGCGGTTGTTCCTGTCGTGTGAGGCGGCCCAACAGACACATTGACAAATGAACGGAAAGAAAAAAAAAGGAAAATAAACAAAGTGCACATATAAACGGGTGGGAGGCACGTTGCTGTTTGACGTCTCCCCACGAATGTTACAAAGGTCGGGAGCGGAAGCAATTGAAACAAAAATCACTTCGACCAAACTAAAGGAGAGGAGTAGTTTCACTCGCGGGTGGAGCAGCAAAACAAAAAATGGTTTGCACATGGGTTATGCTATATACGCACTTTTTTTGTTTTTTTTTTTTTTTTTTTCCACAGTTGGCACACTTGCGTGCGAACTGGGGTGGGTGTACTTGGCGCAATGCAGAAAATTGCCCAGGTTGGGAATGCATACAGATTTGCCTCACAAAAAAAAAATAATAAAATAAAAATAAAAAAAAACGACCACACTTTGCGTAAAAATCATTTCGAATGCATTCTTGCCTCGTGCAAAAAAGTGTACATTTTTTTTTTTTTTTTTCTGCCTTCTTTTTTGCTCCCTGGTCGTGATGTTTGTTTATTTATTTTTTTTTTTTTGGAGGGCCTAACGACGAAGAGGAGAGGTAGCACATAGGATTGATACGACAGGATGTGAGTTGGCAAATGCATAGGTAGTGTTTCTTTTTAAGTTAAGAAGCGAATACAACTCGTCCCACTTGCGAAAAAGGGGGGAGGAAACAATTTTGTTTTATCACTGCCGTGTGAATGTACTTGATCTTTTTTTTTTTTTTTTTTTTCCGTCGCATGAGAGGGGTAGCACCCAACGTGTGAGGAGAAGCAGCATTTCTACGCAGCGTTCTTGTGGGGAGGCAACCCTCTGGAGAGAGAACCCCCCAAACCATATATATATTTTTTGAATTATGCCCCGGCTGCTGCCGCCCTAAGTTGCCAGGGCAGCTTGAGGATCGAGAAAGGTGTGCGCGCTGAGGTGTCACAATAATACAGGGCCAATAGGTTTGGTAGTGAAGCGGCTGTTTTGAAGTTTGTTTTTTGCGGCCCCCCCCTCAGCCGTGCCAGCTGCCCCTCTGCCACTTGCTACCTACCTGCTGCTTCGTAGCCTGCCCAAGATGAACGTGGAGAATATTTTCCCCAACAACGACGTAAACGTGGAGGAGATCGAGAAGCTTTCCAACAGCGAAATAAGAACGAGGATCAGCTTGATCGACACGGAAATCAAAATTTTAAAAAATGAGCACACGAGGTTGAAGAATGAGTATAAGAGTCTGCAGGAGAAGATAAAGGACAATGTGGAGAAAATACATTTGAATAAGATGTTGCCGTATTTGGTTGCGAATGTAGTGGAATCGCTAGATCTGGAGGATGACGAAGAATCAAATGAACCCAAAGATGAGTACGACCTGTACGTAAACAATTCAAAGAATAACAACGATGAAGGATTTCGCGACATTGATGATGAAAAGAGAGGAAAGTGTATGGTTATAAAAACTTCCACAAGACAAACCATATTTTTACCTGTCCCAGGTTTAATAGATGCATCTGAATTAAAGCCAGGAGATCTCGTGGGTGTGAACAAAGACAGCTACCTCATTGTGGATAAATTACCACCCGAGTATGACAATCGAGTAAAAGCCATGGAGGTGATTGAGAAGCCTTCGGAGGATTATTCAGACATTGGAGGTCTCGATAAACAGATTGAGGACCTCGTGGAAGCAATTGTATTACCTATGCTACATAAAGAGAAATTTGAAAAAATCGGTATTAAACCTCCTAAAGGCGTGTTGATGCATGGTCCCCCAGGTACAGGCAAGACATTACTTGCTCGAGCTTGTGCTTCACAGACAAATGCAACTTTTTTAAAATTAGCTGGACCACAACTTGTACAAATGTTTATTGGTGATGGAGCAAAGATGGTCAGAGATGCTTTTAACTTAGCCAAGGAAAAGGCACCAGCCATTATTTTCATCGACGAGTTAGATGCAATAGGAACCAAAAGATTCGATAGTGAACTGTCTGGGGATAGGGAGGTACAAAGAACCATGCTTGAATTACTAAATCAGTTAGATGGGTTCAGTACTGATGATACGGTGAAAGTTATTGCTGCGACGAATAGGCCGGACACACTAGACCCTGCTCTACTGAGATCAGGTAGACTTGATAGGAAAATTGAACTACCTCATCCTAATGAAGAATCGAGAGCAAGAATTTTGCAAATTCATTCTCGAAAAATGAATGTCCATAAGGATGTGAATTTTGAGGAGTTGGCTCGATCCACAGATGATTTTAATGGTGCCCAGCTCAAGGCTGTTTGCGTGGAGGCAGGAATGATAGCCCTTAGGAGGGGCGCCACGGAAATCGACCATGAGGACTTCGTCGAGGGCATCACCTCCGTCCTCTCCAAGAAGAAGAGCACACTGAATTATTTCACCTAGGCGGAGCGTAGCGTACAGCAGCATAGCGGAGCGGAGCTGTTTTGCCAACGGAGCCTCTTCCCGACGAACCCTCACTGCCTCACCGTCGCTGCAAATGCGTGTCTGATGGGAGAGACGTGTTAGAGATGAACGAGTCAGGTCTGAAACAGGAGGGAAGACGCAGCCAAGGGGGGGGCTCGCGCACATGGGGTGGAACTACGGCTGCTGCACTTTTGTGTCTTTATTTTATTCATTTAGTTACGGCTCGATAAACGTGTGTACATAACATGCCCATTTTAAATTCTTACCCAACTGGCTTCTTTTAGCCCCCTCTTATCTCTTTTTATTATTATTATTATTTATTTTTTTTTAATTCATACGAGACCAACCATCTCGTGTACCCCTACCTGTGTGCAGGTGGTAGAACTGGAAGCGCCCCGCGCGTAGGCACCACGCTGCAAAGCGATGTTATTGCTCCGTTCATTATATTCCATCTTCCGCCAGCGTGTACAAAAGATTCCCTCGATAATGAACATAATAGTGTATAACTCCGTGCGGTTATTTTTACGTCCAACACATAAGTGGTCACCGCGGGGGGTTTAAAAAATACAAAGTTTGAGTTGGGAGCAAGTTTACACAGCAGGGGTTCATTTTTTTTTTTTTCTTTTTTTACGATCGTACCATGTGTGACGAGCCTATCGTAGGGGGGGGGGGAACAGTACACCGGGTTAGGGGCTTCATCCCCAGTGGATCGCCGTCCGAATTGTGCTGCGTGAAAGAACGGTGCTTGGTGGGGGGAAAAGCAATCGTTATATGATTGCGCTAGGTAGGCACACCTGTGCTGTGTATTTTCACTTTGTTTTCTTTTTTTATTTCGTTCCCCCCTCGGGTGCGCAGAGGTAACAGGTTAGCTGATCATCACTTGGCAAAATTAAAACGCCCTTGCCAATGGCACGCACAGGGGCCGTGTTGTGCAACGGGAGCCCGCCCTTTTTTTTTTGCCTGAACAATGCAGAAAAAAAAAAAAAAAAAAAAAAAAAAAACAATAATTAAGTGGATTAAAGTAAAACGACGCAAAATAAAAATAAAAAATAGCAAGAATGATGAAGCGATAGGATAGCACCACGGAAAAAAGGGGGGGGGTGACAAAATAGGGTGGGAACCCAACCCGGGCACATAACACAAATGTAGCACCTGGTGGGAGAACCTGCTTTTAAGTACACGTGGAAAATACATAGCTCCCCGTGTGCATTGTGACTGATCTGGTGAAGGCAGTGAGGGGATCCCCGTATCCTTTTCTCCCCCAGAGGGGCACTACTTTACATGATGCAGCGAACAAGAGACGAAAATGATAGGGGTGGAAGGGACGAACAACTGAGCAGTGAAGACGTTGCTAAAATTATCAATGACTCCATGGCATACGTAGTGGAAGCCAACAATAAAAAAAATATTATCGAAATAAAAAATGACCTGGAATATATTAAAAATATAATTCACAATGACATTATTAAGATATTAAAAAAAAACGCACAGGAGTTTATGTGTCTCCCGTCCAACTTAAATCTGATGGAAAAAATGATGCCCCCCTTAAAGAAAGAGGTGGAATTGTCCAGGACGTTTGTTCACCTCCTGCTTAGAGAAGTGCTGCACATTCGTACAAATAATTATCAACTGATAGAAGACAAAATAAACATGTCATTTTTAAAAAACGTCTTAATGAATAACGTACAGGTGGAACAGCTACTGACCAAGTTACACAAAAAAATAAAAATGCTAGATCAAAATAAACAGTTTTTATCACTAGTAAGTATGTATAATGAATTGCACAGAAAGGACATTAACTTGGAAAAAGCAAAACAGTTTCTTATCGAACATGTTAGCATCAACAACTTTAATTTCTTTTTTTACGTGATCGAAAAAATTGTCCTTGTTGCCAAAGCGACGTGGGAAATAAAGGCCCTGTTATATAATAATTACAAAAGCATTTTCAAAATAGCTAGCTCATTACGTGCTTGGAATAACCTCCTCGATAAATATGGAAGAGCATCCGAATGTAGCGAAGACGTCATTTATTCTGCTAAAAATAACTCGATTAAACATATGAACGAATGTTTAAGAACGATTATGAGTGAGATTGGTTCGCACCTGCATCGGTTGTCTTATGTATTTCTGAGAGTGGTGAAGGACGCCCTCCCTGTGCACAGCGGGGGCGACGCTACTGGCAACTTCATTCTAGACCAGTGTTTGCATGGAGTTGTTACTGCCTCTTACTTGCTCGACCAGATGGACGCCTTCACTGATTTGTTTCGCGAGATCTTTGTGGACAGCCTGGTAGGTGTGCTCGCATGATCGGCCTGGAGGAACAGTTACGCCCCTCACCGCGTCTATCATCACCGCTTGACCACTTCACCGCCCCCTTCGCAGGCACACATCCCGTTCGAGTCCTACGACGTCTTCCTCACACACGCGAGACGGCACCTACTGGAAGACGAACGCGTAGAACAAATAAACAGGTGCGTGGACGAAGTAGACCCCGGTGCGTTGTTCTGCGCCAAGGGAATTGTGCAGAGCCTGCTGCAAATCATCAAGAGGAAGTTCCCGGAAGTTTTTCTCCTCACCCACTGCGACAACTTCATCGAAAATTACACCAAAACAGCTAGTTTTCTGAACGAAATTAAAAAAAAAAAAAAAAAAAAAAAGTATGAACAGTTCATAATTTCTGAACATGTTCATAATTTTCTAAAGAATTTCGAAAGGGAAGCATACGCACAGTACATCCTCAATGTGCTGGAAAATAAGATAAATGAAAATTGCAAAAATGTAATACTGTTCGATAAAAAATATATATTTGATGACAAGTTTTACTGGCTAAAGGAAACCATTAATTTGATTAAAATTTTTAAAATTCTCTTTACGAGCAAGTATTACATTCCAAGTTCGCTTCCGACTTATCTGGCCTTCATTTGTAAGCACTTTAAAAATTACATAGACAATGTGGAATCCTTTTTGCTTTTCCTGCGAGAAAATCGGAACGCCAAAATTTTTGGCACGGACAGAACGCGATTCAATTGGAGCCCGACGCTCAGCTACAACAGCGTGGGGTTCATCCTGTCCGACTTGATGTCCTTACGGAGCATATTTCAAGTGGGGACAGGAGCGCGCGCGCTTTTGAAAAGGGGAAAATTGGGAGGAAGCACCAGGGTAGAAGCGAAAGAAGTGAATTTATCAGAAGAGGTGATTGCAGGGGGACCAGCGGATGGAGCTTGCGCGATGGACGAAGCGGGAGAGGAGACCAACTCTGCGCTTCCCAAACGTGTGAGCAGCACCATGGGTGATGTGCCCACGTGGATGTTTACAAAAATACTGTCTGACTGTGCAGGTGTTTATTCGGAGGTAGAGCACAGCGATGAGGACAACTCAGCTGGGGAGACCGACAACGCTTCCTCTACCTCTTGCTCATACTCCAGCTGCGATGACAGCATCAAGGAAGTCGTGACGCAGGAGATGGGAACCCCGTTAGGGAAGTGGCACTACTGGCTCAGCGTCGAAAGTGGTTTGTCTTTCCCCCCCAGGGATATCGAGCTAGCCGCCCACATGAAGAACAAAGTGACCCATGAACAGAGTGCTGATGCTGATCAGGAGAATAAGGAAAAGGTTGCTGAACACGCACACGTGGAAGTGCACATTTCTACCAACTATAACGATCGGGGAGATACTACCAATGAAGGGAAGGTCAAAAATAGAAGCGATAGTTGCACCGCCCACGGGAGTGACACCGAGCTGCACGAACTGGGCAAAGCAAACAGAAACACCCTCAAGGAAAAAAAAAAACAAATGAAGATCCATTTACAAATATGCAAAAAAAAAAAAAAAAAAAAAATACAAAATCATGTAAACTGTATAGTAGGTTTTCTTAGGACCCTATCTGACATTGTCCTAAACACAGAAAAGGAATTTCAGAATTTTTTCATCGACAAAATGTTCCATATATGTTCGAGCTTTTTGGTTTATTTGCACTCCCTCCTGGTCATGTACAAAATAACCAACAAGCGGGTAAGTTCGTCCTCCGGCGTGGTCCTCACACGCACACCATCACCACCGACAGGGGACTTACCCTCTTGCTCGGAGAATAATTTGATTGCTGCTCAAATGAGTAATGGTCGCGTTGACTCCCTTAGTCGACCCCTCATCAGTATGTCATATTCCTCGTTATGTCGCTTCTACTTCTTACCGCCCGCTTTTTTTTTTTTTTTTTTTTTTTTTTTGGTAGATGCCTGAAAAGCCTAGCGAGCAAGTGGAGAAGATCCTCCTCCCCCTCATTTCTTTTAAAACATTTTACGAAGGTATCATCGCGCAGGTAAGTTCTGCAACACGTGTAAAGGGGGGTCATTCTTCATGTAAATCCCTCCCCCCCACTGGACAAAACACATCACAGGAGTGCACTTTACCCCCCCTGCATATCCCATTTGCGTTGTTTCCCTCTTCCTCACAGGCGATTGTCGAGGATATCATTTCAAGAATCGTCGATCGGATAAACGACTACTACCTTCAAGAGGTACCCATCGCAATGGAGAGAGTGGCAAGAAGAGACAGCTGCCGTCTGTGGAGGGAGCTAACATGTGGTGGTACTCCTCCCCGAGTGTGCTACCTCACCGCTGCTTTACCGTTGCCACCGCTTCACCCCTTGTACCCTTTCCACCCACCAGATAAAGAACCTCATTAATGTCAAAATTGACGAGCAGAATAAGCGCATCATGAAGCTCAACCTGGAGGACCCCTTAAAAGTTAGAAGAACGACTCAGCGCGTTGCAACCCCCTTGTTTATGCACGTGCAAGGGCGCAGGGGCGATTGTGTGTATCTTCTCTTGCATGTAACCTTTGCGGGTGGGAAGAGGCAAGAGGCAAGCGTAGGTGCAAGCTCGTCTCGGGTAAACTGTCGCTCATTTCTTCTCACATTTTCCCTTCCTCTTTAACCGAACCTTGTCTCAGGATGAGGATACCCCGTACGAGGAAAAAATACGAAGGCAAATTTATTTGGTACAGTTTTTTTTTTTTTTTTTTTTTTTTTTTTTTCCTCCCTACTAAATCACTGGTCTCTCTTTTGCCAGTTCCGTGTGGGCAGACTGTACCCCCTGCACGCTGTTCTACCTCCCCCCGCCACACAAAGCATGTAAATTCAAGTGTATGCAATTGAACACATTTTTTTTTTTTTTTCGTGGGCATCCACCTCCTCTTTCCCTGCAGGACGTTTGCCACTACGCCAAAATGTGCGAGGAGAACTTCAAAATAAACGCAGAAACGAGCGCAAGCATGAACGCATTAGTAAGTCACTTGTCATTTAAGGAATAAATTTGCCGAAGCGGAATGAAGCGGAGACGATTCTAGCGAGGCTTATACTTACCACGTGTTGCATATGTCGTAGTTGTTACGTGCAGTGTCGCCTTCACATTGCACTGTGCGATTTTTTTTTTTTTTTTTTTTTTTTTTTTTGTAATGACAATTACTCCTTGCCCGTGTTAAACGCTTCTGGGTTGGATGTGCCCCCTTCACTTTGTTCACATCGCCACTTCATTTTGTTACATCCTACTCCTTTTTGTGACGTGGCAATGAGGGAGCAGCTCATCACCACTTCGCATAAGCACTTGCGTCGCGACGGGGGGTACTAGTAGGAACCCTTTGTGGAAAAGAGTTTGGGTCAGAGAGCAGCCTGACTAACAACACACTCCACTCACTCCCCGTGAGTGTCGCATACGGTATTGCATATACTGTGGATGCTGTGCACGGAACAAAGGTTGACCCTGCGCCAACGTGCTTTTCTTTTTTTTTTTTTTTTTTGTAACTTCCTATTGTTGCATTCTCGGAAGAGGAGAAAACCCCTGAGGTGTGCCTCCCCCCCCCCCGGAGAAAGTAGGCGATCGGTGGGTGTATACAAAAAAATGGTCTAAGAAAACGATCGACTCGTTAAAAAATTCACTTCAAAAAACAACACACGCAGTTAGCGAGATTAACGTATTAGGAGGCGGAGCAAAAATGCAGGACGTGTGTCCACTGGAGAGAAATTCCTTCCCCAGGGATGAAAGTGTGGGGAGGACAAAGGAGATAGTGAAACACCTGAAAAAATGCCCCCTGTTTTTAAAGGCGCTGTATCTGCACTACAACCCATTTTGCTTTCCTAATATAAATGACACCAGTAGCTACTTAATGGAGAAGGGGAATGTGGAAGCAGAGTTGAGGAGATACCATGTCGCATTCAACGAAACCATCCTCCACATTTTAAAAAAAAAAATAAGTATCACTACCTTTGAGCAATTTCGCACTCTTAAGTATAAAATAATTTTTGAACAATTTTTAAATCACGGAGTGGAGGACTTGCTGTCTAAGTTGGGCGACGACGACTTTGTGAGAGGCCTGCAGGGGGAGGTGGATGGAGAAGTGTCAACTGGTGTTGTAGCGGCGGGGGTAGCGCCAGGTGTAGCAACCGGCGTAGCAACCGGCGTAGCAGCCGGCGTAGCAGCAAAGGGAGACGGAAGCGGTGGACAGCCCGCGGGGCAGCCGATGACGGAACGCCCCGAGGGAGATCCCCATGTAAGCACCGCCAACCAGTTCCTCGATGGCTACATAGCCGCAGTGAAAAAGTTGATACATCATTTGAGGGAATGTCCCCACCAGGACAAGGGAAAGGACTCCTTTATAAAGGAGCAGCTGAGGATGTTACGCACCCTCTGCAACAGATCAACGCGAATAGAGGAAGAAAATATTTGTTGTGCTGACGGGGTGGACACAAATGAGAAGGGAAGCAACCCCAGGGAAAAACACCCACTCCCCATTCTCACCCTTCGAAGCATTGGGAGCATCCACAAGTATCGGCTCTGTCAGGACCTCCTGCAATATATAGACAAAGAGGTATTCCCCGTGAACAAAAAAAAAAATGCAGAGGAAAACATCAACAAGGAAGACACCATCACGGAGGAACAGCTTATTGAGACGGGACGTCTAGACAGGGACGAAATTATGAGCATCGTCATCTATACAGTCATATACCTATGCTGCAAAATGAGTATTATTAAAAGATTGAAGAATAAAAATTTTCATCATAAAAATTACCTGAGCAGTTCAGGTGAAAAATCGATATTTTTTTTTTTGGAAAATTTAGACAAACATGATTTACAAAATGTCAATGTAATGTTTTTGCTTCTCCATTTTAACAATAATGTGTTGGAGATTTTTGAACGTATTTTTAATGAAGGGGGATGGAATAGGAGGGATGGCAGCTCCTTAGGGGACTACTTGTTTATTGAATTGGGTGCTGGGAAAGCCAACACGACGCGATGGGTCAAATTTATTATGGATGACTTGGTGGGCATTTTGGAGAGGTTCTTTTCAAATGGGGGACCACGGGGGGAAGGAGGCATCGCGGAAGGGGCAGCTTTGACGGGGGTAGAAGTGGGCAGCCAGGCGGAGGAGCAAACCCCCAAACCGATAGAGCAGTCACCTGAACGATTGCAACAACGGGAGAGGTGCAAGCTTCTGATCATCGAGAGGGAATCCCTGAGGAACAAAAAGGAAAAAAAAAACTTTCTTATGCAAATGGCCCAAGAGAAGAACCAACATCTACTCCGCGTAAAGGCAGACATCTCAGATTTCCATTTGTCAAATTTTATTTACTGTTCAAAAAATGGCTTCAAGGGGGAGGCAAGTCCTTTCGCGTTCATTCCTGATGTCATTCATTTTTACTACTACAAGGGGGTGTACAATTGGAGGGGGGCGATCCCCTCAGGGGGTAGCGGAGCAGGCAGCGTCCCCACGACTGATAAGCGGCGGGATGACGAACGAGATGACGCGCGAGATGGCGAGCGAGACAAGGGTCTCCTTTCCCCAAGGGCTGATCAGACGTACAAGTCGCCCACCGATGGAGGAGCCCTCATAACGGAAATGTTCCTGCGAAACAACCTATTGCAGTTGGGCACCTACTTCGATGTGCACGTAGAGAAACTCCTGTCCTTTTTGACCCAGGGCAATAACAACCTGTTGAGGTTGGTGAAGGGGGGAAGGCGGCTTCACCGCTCTACAGGCGCGTGTATATGTGTGTATATTTTTTTTTATATGAACTAAAATGATGAGCCAACCTGCGAAGTGGACTCCTCTATCATACCCCCTCTTTTTTTTTTTTTTTTTTTTTTTTTTTTTGTTTCCCTTTTTTTGTCTCCCTTTTTTGCAGGGTTTACGATGACATGAATAACTTCCTCAGCAATTTCGACTGCAACAAGGTGACCTTTTTAACGAAGCACTTGTGTGGTAATGGCACCGACTTGGCTCTTAGGTAGGTGAAGACGGGGTGCCATTTGCCTCTCTGTCCGCCCCTGTCAGCGTCTTAGCATAGCAGTATGAAAAGAGGACAATTTGGGGGGGGCAACACTTCTTCATGCAAACGTCGCCCTCAGTAACATACTCCGTAATGCTACATCCGTTTGAACGAACCCCCGCGTTTTCCTCTACAGAATGCTCGTGAACAACACCAAGAATAGGGATAAAGAAAATTACTTCATCCTGGCCCCGTGCTGCCACCATAGGTCTGCGGGGAAGACATAACCATTCGCTTGCAATTCGCTTCCAATGTGCAATTTAGCACCCGCTACGCACACGTGTGTAATATGGCACATCACTAACTTATCGTTACGTCTTTTTTTTTTTTTTTTTAAATGCAGATGTGACGTGCACAAAATTTTAGGCTTTAAGCTTTTAAAGGAGTTGGGTATCAATCAGGGGCATTTACAGCACATCGTCAAGCACATGTCCGGGTGGGTGCAGCTGCCCGAGCGCTTCCCACTAGTGCGCTTCTTACTAACGGGCCTACTAGTGCGCTTCTTACTAACGGGCCTACTAGTGCGCTTCTTACTAA